CAGACAGCAAAGCTCTCCACATGGGAGCTTCCAAACATCAGGGCGGGTTACCCTTGAATCCCCACATGCAAGGAACCGGTCTCCTCCAAAGGACTGCTCAAACGGATCGCTCTTCTTTGGGAAAATCAACCCCAAGCCCAAAACTCTAAACCCTAAACCCTAAACACCCCCCCCCCCCAAGATCAAACGCCTCATGCAGGTCGGGGTGCTTGGGCTTAGGGGTTTGGAGTCAAGGGCTTCTAGGCCAGATTGGGGGGGGGGGTTCCAAAATCGGGGTGTTAGGTTTTAGGGTTTAGGGTTTAGGGCCAGGGTTTAGGGTTTTGGGTTTTGGGCTTGGGGCATTTTGGGTTTAGGGTTAGGGTTCAGGGTATTTTGGGGGGTCCTTATAAGGGGAATTCTACCCTGTTTGGGGTGTAGAAAGGGTACCCCAGATTTTGACAAATACCCATGTGGACTTCATCGAGTTGTAGGGCTTGGGGTTTTCAGACGTGTGCTTCGGGCTTCTCGGAATCAGGGCACAAAAAGTTCAGCCCCGATCGCATGCCTTGACGATATCGGCATCACTGTTTGACTCTTCCGACGTGTAGAACTCCACAAACCTTGGCGAAAGAACTGGGTGTTACGGGGGTCGGGAGTTCAGGGCTGCTTGGAAGTCCATGTCGTGCCTGCACCACCCCATCATGGGAAAGGCTGAAAGTTTGGACTATACGTCTTGGGCATGGTCGCGTGAATACAAAGCCCTACTTCGTTAGAATGGAACTTCTTGGGATGTTCCCCCTTATACGAACAGTCCTTAGTAGGGATTATAGCACCGCGCGGCTTTGACTTAGAGTTTAAGATCGACAAAAATCGGCCCCCGTTAAGTCCCAAGCTCGAAAACGTTGGAGAGGGAGCCGATTAGGGATGAAAAGAGTGAATTTAGGGTACCCCAAAACCCTGAAACCTGAAGTTATGGGGCAGCCCATTCCTGCCGTGCCTGGCTGCAAACTAGTTGTTTATTCGTACGTACAAATCTCAGTATAAATATGCGCATAAATATGCATACAACTACTTGCATCAATATAAGTACATTTGACCCCAAACCCCAAACCCCAAACCCGAAACCCCAAACCCTAAACCCCAAACCCCAAACCCGAAACCCCAAACCCCAAACCCTAAACCCTGAACCCTAAACCCATTTGAAGGAATGTCTGTGGACAAGGTTGGCGAGTTGCTCCTCAAAGCTCACATTGTCGTCGCCGTCGGTACTCATCTTCTTGAGGAGGCCCGTGACCTTGCAGGTCTGGTTTCAGGTTTGTAGGGTTTAGGGTTTGGGGTTTAGGGTTTGGGGTTTAGGGTTTAGGGTTTAGGGTTTAGGGTTTAGGGTTTGGGGTTTGGGGTTTAGGGTTTAGGGTTTAGGGTTTAGGGTCTAGGGACAATTGCAACGTTATGTTACGAAAATTTACGAAAGGTACCACAACTAGTTGTTGTTCCTCTCTCCTTGAAGAACTACAGTGCTGAATTGCGCTCCCAAGCTGCTTTCTGCGTGGTGATCGTGGGGTCCACCTTCCGCAACATGGATCCCAGATCTTGCTTGCCTGGCGTTCAGCTGGGGTGAAAGAAGCATTGGGGGCTGCTTTGGAGACGTCCGCCTCGGGGTGTTCGTAGGCGCAGATAGGGTTTTAAGGCCTTCGCACTCTTGGGGCCTATGACTGCGACTTGGTGCCAGACCGCTGCATACCTTCCTCAGAAACTCTCACCATCGCATCGCATCATAGCTCCCGGTTAATACACCCGTAAACCCTAAACCCTGAAGCTGGGGAAGCCTGCACAGCTACACAAGAGCCTCAAACCCCCAGACCATCCGGTCTCCTGCAAGAGCCAAGGAGCTAATCTTCCCGGTGTGTCGTATATCCATCTGCCGATATACAGTTTGGAGGAGCTGCACTTTCATATCCTGGCCGTGGAGCTTTGGGAATTTAGGGGTTCAGGGTTCAGGGTTTAGGGGGTTTTGGGTTCAGGGGATTCAGGGTTTAGGGGTTTAGGGGGTTCAGGGTTTCGGGGTTTAGGGGTTCAGGGTTGAGGCTCTCGCTGTTTCGGCGCCCTACCAAGTCCTCGGGCCTTCTTGAGAGGGGAAACTCCGGGTGCGGGGAACCACCCTCCCGCTACAACGGGGTCTGGGTTTGGGGTTTAGGGTTCAGGGTTCAGGGTCTAGGGTTTAGGGTTTTGTTAGGACTTAAAGTTTACGGTTTAGGGCTTAGGGTTTAGGGTTTTGGGTTTAGAAAATGGTTGATATAAGGGCCCTTAGCAAGAGGTATTATAAGGGGCCTTGTAGGAACCCTACAAAGCCCTTCAACATGCCAGTCGCCTTCGTCATCTCTTTCGGCCGCTCCGCGGTGACAGCCGACCTTCAGGGTTTTTAGGGTTTAGGGTTTAGGGTTTCGGGTTTCGGGTTTAGGGTTTAGGGTTTAGGGTTTAGGGTTTAGGGTTTAGGGTTTAGGGTTTAGGGTTTAGGGTTTCGGGTTTAGGGTTTAGGGTTTAGGGGCCCTTAATTTAGGTCCCCTGCTATAGAAACCTTATATACACTACACATAGTAACTTCGGATCCCTGCGAACCCCTCTAAACAAGGGTAAGGGGACCACACGAAGCTTGAGGGTGGGGGAGGGGGGGGAGGGGGCAGGGGGGAGGGCTAGATATGAGGGTTTAGACTTAAGTTTCCCATCTTGGAACAGCCAAAAGCAACCAAACACTTCAGTTCGGATAGTTTCATGGTCCCTTCACATGGGCCCTTCATTGGGTTTTTGGGGTGTGGTGGGTGGACGGGGGCGTGGTGGGGTAGGGCTTGAGGGTATGCAGAAAAAAGAAATAGACTCGGGGGAAACCCTGATCCAACAAAGCGCTTATATTTCAGAACTCGTTAAGGAAGGGAAGGAGCCCTGAAATCTCCTTTAGAAAGAAACCCTAAACCCTGAACCCTAAACCCTAAACCCTCAACCCCGCGACTCCGTCTAAGAGGGTGGAGGGGCGCCAAGGCGCTCGATTCGGTCCATCAGATTCCAGCTCGTTTCATGCTGGAAGGCTTTGCCCTTGGGATCACACCGGGCAAAGCTGTGCACTTGGCGTGCCAGTGAAACCCTAAGCCCTAAACCCTATGAAGTTTAGGGTTGAGGATTTGGGGCGTCAGGGGAACCCTCGACCCTCAAAGTGTAAGGGTTTAGGGTTTAGGGTTTAGGGTTTAGGGTTAGGGGTTAGGGTTTAGGGTTTAGGGTTTAAGGTTTAGGGTTTAGGGTTTAGGGTTTAGGGTTTAGGGTTTAGGGTTTAGGGTTTAGGGTTTAGGGTTTAGGGTTTAGGGTTTAGGGTTTAGGGTTTAGGGTTTAGGGTTTAGGGTTTAGGGTTTAGGGGGTTTAGGGTTTAGGGTTTAGGGTTTAGGGTTTAGGGTTTAGGGTTTAGGGTTTAGGGTTTAGGGTTTAGGGTTTAGGGTTTAGGGTTTAGGGTTTAGGGTTTAGGGTTGAAGGCTTCGGGCTTTGGATTCTGATGCTTAAGAGACGAAAGGGATGCCTCCCTTGCTGGTTTCTGGTCAACAAGCCTGTTTGCCGTGTATGTCCTGCGCTCAGAAGGCCCCCTAAACCCTACACCCTAAACCCTAAACCCTAAACCCCAAACCCTAAACCCTAAACCCTAAACCCTCAACCTAAAAAGCCAAGCGGCCAGCCCGGCCAGCGCCATCCTAAGCGACGATGCGCCCGCGCCAAAGGCTGCGCGGCTCTGTGTGCCGTAAGCTTCCCCCCCTCCCAAACAGAGTGGGGACCCCTGGGACTTGGGGCTTGCAAGTAGTTGTAGGAGTCTCTGATGTGAAATGCCTCGAAACGCCCCTTCAGCCCATATGGCGATGGAACTGCGGAGTGTGTTTTGTGGCGTCATGTTTGTGCCCTCCTTGATGGCTGACCATGGCGGGAGGGAAGCACTCCAAATCTGCAAACCCTCTCCCGTAAACCCCAAACCCTACCCTAAACCCCGAAGCCCTCAACATCCCCCTCGCTACAACACCTAAGCCCCAACCGTGAACTCCCAAACCCCCATAAAAGCCTCCAAACCCCCATAAATTCCTCCAAACCCCCAAGCCCTAAAGCACCAAATCCGAAACTCCAAACCCCAAATCCCTACCCGCAAACCCCCAAACCCTGAAGCCTCAAACCGCCCTAGACTCGAAACCCCAAACCCCAAGCCACAAAGCTCCAAACCCTCAACCCGTCTTGCCGGCCACGTCTGCTTTGCGGGGCGCATGGACTACGAAGAGTTCGCGCTGAGACGAGAGACTTGCTTGATCACCTACATTTATCGACTTCGCTCCAGCGGTGCAGCCCCGCAACCTCAACCCTCAACCCTCAACCCTAAACCCTAAACCCTAAACCCCAAACCCTAAACCCTAAACCCCCAGATCAAGTACTTGCCGAACCTTGCAGTGAATATTGACCACGACTTCCTCGAAGCGGCTGCTTTGTGCGTCACTCGGCCGTTCGGCCGGTCTCGAGCCAGGGGGGGCATGGGCCACGTAGCGCAGCGAAAATTCTGAGGGATGGCAGACACCCCGAGCACCGTATATTGCATATTGCATATGACGTGGTATGGGTTATATTATATTATAGAAATATCATATTATATTATACTATATTATATTATACTATATTATATTATTTTATATTATACTATATTATATTACATTATACTATATTATATTGATATATATGTATTACATACTATGTATTATATACTGTCCACTCGAATGTTGGCCGGCAATTCGGGCTTTGGAGCTTCAAGCAGGGCAGAGGGCAATTGGGGGGACCTACAGCAGCTGCATCTCGAAGGGTTTAGGGTTCAGGGTTCAGGGTTTAGGGTTTAGGGTTTAGGGTTTAGGGTTTAGGGTGTAATTAGGGTTTAGGGTTTAGGGTTTAGGGTTTAGGGCTTAGGGTTTAGGGTTTAGGGTTTAGCGCGTCTCTTGCATTTTGGAGCCGCGGCGAGCTCACTGGGGAGGCGCAGTCATACCTGCAGGCAGGAGGGAGCGCCCCATGCGCCACCGCAACCTTCAGTTGGCCCCCAAACCCCAAAAGCCTCGTTTTTTAGGGTTTCGGGTTTAGGGTTTAGGGTTTAGGATTTCATGAAACTTTGGGGTTTCTGTGAAGGAACTTGGCCAGTCCATGCTCTGGCCGCCAAACTTAAGCTGCTTAAGCTCCAGACCCAGCCAGCCCACAAGCCCGTCCCGAAGAAACACTCTCTACAGGTTGAGGCACAAACAAGCTTGAGGCTTAGGCTTAGGGCCCTAAACCCTAAACCCTAAACCCGAAACCCGAAACCCGAAACCCGAAACCGAATTCGGGGATTCAGTGGGGGGGTTTAGGGGGTTCAGGTGTTTGAAGCCGGGAAAGACCCAGCTGAGCATCTGGCCTGGTTGTTGCAAGAGCTGCACCTCCAAAATCAAGACACTAAAGGAAGGAGGGGCCCTTGTAAGGGACCTTAGGGGTCATTCAGGGGTTGTTTGGGGGCTACTTAGTCATATAGGGACTATCAAAGGTGTATATAGGAGATGTATAGGGGAATAAGCTTAAAGGTCCCTTCTAGGGGTCCCTACTCTTACCCCTCCAAAGCAAGGTTCGGGCCCGTGTTGCGCATATCCGCACAAGCTTAAGGGCTAGGGTTTGAGGGGTTTAGGGTGTAGGGTTTAGGTTTAGGGTTTAGGGTTTAGGGTTTAGGGTTTAGGGTTTAGGGTTTAGGGTTTAGGGTTTAGGGTTTAGGCTTTTGAGCTTTAGGCTTTTGAGTTTTAGGGTTCACTTGCGGGCAGTAAGCGCGGCCAGCCTACCAAGAAGCAATCGAGTCTGTCCTGTGCCAGAACCCCCCCCCCTCCGCCTGCACTTTAGGGGGACTTCCTGCTCCAGACTCTAAACCCAGCTTGAACCATAAACCCTAAACCCTAAACCCTAAACCCTATACCCTAAACCCTAAACCCTAAACCCTAAACCCTAAACCCTACCCCAAAAGCAACCAGAACGACTCTGACGATCCCACTGGGCGTCCCGAGCCGTCCACCCAGGCCGTATTTGCATCTGGGCGCCGAAGGGCCTCTGCTTTTAGGGCTTAGGGCTTAGGGTTCAGGGTTTAGGGTTTAGGGTTGATGGTCTAGGGTTCAGGGTTTAGGGCTTAGGGTTTAGGGTTTAGGGTTTAGGGTTTAGGGTTTAGGGTTTGGGACCTAAGCACGCCAAGTGCCCGACCCTGGTTGGACTGGCATTCCTGGCAGCTGTTGCGCACCTGTGCGGCACAAGGGTTGCGAACCGGGCCCTCAATCAAAGACGCACGAACCCGAAACCCGAAACCAAGTCCCAGACCCCCTAAACCCTAAACCCTAAACAAACCCCAAACCCTAAACCCAGGGAATCCTGGGTTTAAGGTTTCGGGTTTGTGGTTCTTTGGGATGGTCCTGCAGAAGTCTGGGAGAATTATAGCCACGTGTGGCAAGAAGCACCGGCAAGCGCGCGGCAGATGAAGAAAACCTAACCCCTAAAACTGAGTTAAAGTCCCTAAACCCTAAACCCTAAACCCTAAACCCTAAACCCTAAACCCTAAACCCTAAACCCTAAACCCTAAACCCTAAACCTTGCAACGCAGAACAGAAAGACCGGCGATCGGCGCCTCCCATAACGACAGTTGGCACCTGGAGCTGCGGAACCGCCATTGGAGCATTCCTCAAGCATGGGGCTTGGCGAGTTTAGGGTTTAGGGGTGTTATTGATATAGATATAGATACATATAGATATAGATATATACATATACATATACATATACATATGCATATACATTTCCATATAATCTACATCTACATCTACATCTACATCTACATATACATATTCATATACATATACATTTGCATATGCATGTACATGTACATCCTATAAGGGGTTTGAGCAGGGCGCCCCAGGTTGCCCTTTTGGGTGTTCCTGTACTGAGAATCGTGAGATTGCGAGAGTTACCCATTGTGCGCCATGCCCAGCCGTCGGAATGTCACGGCTTTGTTTGGGGTTGGGGGTCTATGCTCAGGACCTCTGAGCCCGGAGCATGTGCGGCATTCCGGTTGCAAAGCCCATGCCTGTCGAGCTGCATGCTGGCAGAAACCGCGCGTGCACCGCAAGACAGGTGTCACTGAGGTTCAGGGTTTGGGTTGAAGGTTCCAGGTTTACGCCTGAGTTCAGGGTCTGCGCTTGCAGGAGCAGGGGCTCTGCGTTTCGGGTCCAAGCGATATGCTACTTGTATGTTGCAGGATTTTGCTGGATTTGAGCGATTTGGAGAGATATACACTGACACCGTGAAACTCAACCCTAAATGGCACTCAACCTCTAAACGCTTGGAGGATACGGGCTGGAGGCTTTAGGCGCACGAAAACCTAAGCAAACTCAAACCCCGGAACTCAAAGCCACGCCACCCCTGCTGGCATCCCAGCCACACCATACATTTGAGCTTAAAAAAAAAAACGGGTTTAGGGTTTGGGTTTAGGGTTCAGGGTTTAGGGCTTAGGGTTTAGGATTTAGGGTTTAGGGTTTAGGGTTTAGGCTTTAGGGTTTAGGGTTCTGAAGCCCCCTAAAGCCAGCAAAGCCAGCAAAGCCTGGAACCCCTCTAAAGCCACTACTAAAACCACCGCACGCCCAAAACGCCCAGAACCCCTTAAGCCTCTAAAACCCTGACAATCCCCAAAGCGAAAACCCCGAAAGCCCCTAAGCCCGAAACCCTAAACCCTGAACCCTAAACCCTAAACCCTATGCCCTAATTAAACCCTAAACCCTAAACACTAAACCCTAAACCCTAAACCCTAAACCCTGAACCCTAAACCCTAAACCCTAAACCCTAAACCCTAAACCCTAAACCCTAAACCCTAAACCCTAAACCCTAAACCCAAGCCGCCAGTCTTCGGTCTGCCTGGTGCCCCAAATTGCATCGGCGCTGTGGGGGCGCCCCTTGGCACACAGCCGATAACACTAGAAGTTCTTGAGGGTCTGGGGTTTAGGGTTAGGGTTTAGGGTTTAGGGTTTAGGGTTTAGGGTTTAGGGTTTAGGGTTTAGGGTTTAGGGTTTAGGGTTTAGGGCTTAGGGTTTAGGGTTTAGGGTTTAGGGTTTAGGCTTTAGGCTTTAGGGTTTAGGGTCATTTTCTCAACCCATGCAATCTAAGCCAAAAAACAAGAGCTCACAGCATAGAACTCTCCAGCGGAAGTGCTGCATGGGAGTCTTCCGCAGATGGGAACCCTAAACCCTAAACCCTAAACCCTAAACCCTAAACCCTAAACCCTAAACCCTAAACCCTAAACCCTAAACCCTAAACCCTAAACCCTAAACCCTAAACCCTAAACCCTAAACCCTAAACCCTAACCCTAAACCCTAAACCCTAAACCGGGAGGACGGCCCAAGACGTACGTGAAATGTCGGAAAAGTGGGATGCCAGGCTCGCCCTTTCACGATGCCTGCAGCGGAGGTATCGACAGAAAGAGATGGGACATTTTTTGCATCCTAGAAACAACATGGTTAAGGATGTAGAATTCAGCATCTGAGGTGATTCAGGATCCCATAGTCCACATTTCGGATTTTTGTCGCGCGACCTGGATGCTTGCAGGAACTAGCCGCTGGAATTCTGAACACCTGTGGCTGTCTCTGTCCACCACCCTCCACAGCATCTCGAAAGCAGCCTTCTCCTACACGAGGCCAATGCCACAAGAGCCAACATTGCACATATGTTGGCAAGCTGGAAAAAGTCTCTGCCGTGGGGAGAGCTGCAGGACCCAAGAAACCCACTGAAGCCTTGGAGATAATACTCTCCATAGCCCAGCACAATTTGCAAGTGGGCTTCGTCAGCGGCACAGCACGCAGGTATCCACTTGCAGCTGCCCGCGTGCTGCAAACCCCTGCTTTTTGTCTCCCGCAAACGAAGTTTAGGGTCGCCCGTACTGGGTTTTAGGGGTTTAGGGGATTGGTCGGCCATACCTTGGATTGCTGCTGCTGCCGTTCGTTTGTTATCGTTTGCAGGCTCTTGTCGCGAATGCCATAGCCTGAGAGACACTGCTTTGAAAGCATCCCTTTTTTAAGTTACCAAAGCCTGGTGGATGACTCGAAGCCTATGGTCTGCAGGCATTCATCGACACTACAGTGTAGGAAGGCGCAAGTGGCTGCACTTCCAATGCCGTGCGCCGGCGGCGAACTGCACGCAAACTGAAGGAATCGTCGCCGCCCATCGCCTGGGACTTGCAAGAATGCAAATTGCAGGATGCTAAACCTAACAAGCCCTAAGCTATTCTGGACTTGGAACCCTAACAATAATTTAGCTGCTTGTCAGGAGTGGCAGTACCCGAAAACTAACAACTATTCCCAAGTCTCCCTCAGTAAGCCCTAAACCTTAAGCAAGTCTCTTCACCGTAGTACTTCAACGAGTCGAAGACAGTTGTGACGCAGTTGGTAAACCAAGAAATTACCAGCTCACTGCTGATCAACGTTTGGCGCTTTAGAATGCTGGTACTCTCTGGCCTTACCGTAAGAGCCCGAGAGCGTTATATCCGGTGTAGAGCTCGGGTTCAAGAAGCTGAGCACTGCTAGCTTCGTTTGCGGGTCCCTCGGCATAAGCATGTTGCCTGCTGGGTCTTCATAAGCCACTTCAGCTTGCACAACGAGTCATTGGTATGTCGCCGGCCATATGCTGAACGTGCGTGATTTTGGCCCCTAAACCCTAAACCCCGAAACACTCCCAAGCCCCAACGCACGCGGAGCAGGCCTGGCTTTTGTTCTTTGCCGTTTCGGGCTTGTCGACTGTTTTCTACCACTGCAACCCTGAACATGTGCGAATTCCAGGCTTCAAATGGCATTGAAAAGGCTTCGCGCCAGCAAGGGTGAACTATTTACAATGAAAGTGCAAAGGGGTATGCCAGAAACGCACAACTTTTCCACACCCTTCCGACATCTAGCACTTCCCACATGGGTTTTCTGGCATCTTAGGCGGCCGGAGCAGCCCTAAAACAAGCAGCAGTTCAATCTGTTGAAGACCTCACCTTCAGGCCACTGGAACTATTCTGAAACTCTTGAAGGCTTTACACATGCTTACAGACGCTCACTTGGCAAACTCCTCCATTGTTGCAAGCAGCATGTACTTCACCGCTGCGAGGCAGCTGTGAATTCCCATGCCAACTGGATGCTTCACTTGCCAGTGTCCAACGCCTGACCCCAGAAGGGTCAGCTCAGTAGCCATGGGGCCACTCCGTCAGTGTAAGGCAAGCTTGCCTTAAGCGTTCTTCACATGGCGGCGGCGCGAGCTTGAGCAAAGGAGCCATGGGGGTGCAATGCAGGCCTTGGGTTCCGGCACATGTCCATAAGCTGGCGAGGACTGTGTCGATGGCACGAACTCCAGATGACCAGCCTCGGCTTCGGCGGCTTCGGTATCGGCATCAGAGTCGCACATGTCTTCCCAGCTCTCCTTGACGGCGTCTTGCAGGTTCCCATGGTCGGCTGAGTCCACGCCGCCTTTCGAGACATCCTCCACTGTGCACGAGTTCATCATGTCCTTCGAGTCAGGCTCCCAAATGGCGTGCCCATTGCCTCAGCAGAGAGGGGGGGGGTTCCTCTCTGCCGCACACGGCAACGCAGGAGAGTGCCGCCGCTCTAGTTGCTCTCCTTTATACTTCAACTATGGGGTCTCCGAAAAGAGGGGTACCCTATCTGGGTCCTCATTTTCAGGGAAGCCTACTTGTAGCACTACTATTTGGGGGATCTACTATAGGGGTCCTTCGTAAACCCCCCCCAAACCCTAGACCCTAAACCCTAAACCCTAAACCCCATCTTGGTACAAGAACAACTAGCTCGGGCCCTGACCATCCTGAGGCACCGCAAGGAGGTCAAGGAGCTCCATCGCCGGAGGTGGGGACTCCCAAAGCAGATCGACCTGGGGGGGGGGGGGGGGGGGGGTAATTTAGGGTTTAGGGTTTAGGGGTTTCGGGTTTAGGGTTTAGGGTTTAGGGTTTGGGGGTGCCTTCTTGCGGTCCCTGTTTTTTGAAGGGGACCTGGCGGTTGGTCCTGTTTCACAAGGGGGATCCGACTGTGTTAGGGGGTACCTTCTTGGGGTCCCTAGTAGGGGTCCCCCTACTTTCGTAAAACTCTCACCCTAAACCCTGAACCCTAAACCCTAAACCCTAAACCCTAAACCCTAAACCCGACACCCACCTCGGGCTCGATCAGCGGCGGGGGGCTCTTCACCACGGGGCATGGAGGGCTCGACTGCCCCGGCTTCTTGCGCTCGCGCTGCCCGGAGGCGTGCTTCACGACCGGCTTCGGCTCCTTTTGTAGGGCTTCTTGAGGGAGGAGGGTATAGGGTCTAGGCTTTAGGGTTTAGGGTTTAGGGTTTAGGGTTTAGGGTTTAGGGTTTAGGGTTTAGGGTTTAGGGTTTAGGGTCTAGGGTTTAGGGTTTAGGGTTCTAAAGGGAGGGCGGGGGGTTTCTGGGGAACCTTAGGGAAGCTCTTAGGGAGTCTCGGGGAGTCGTGGGGAGAAAAAGGGACCTTTGGGTTACATACCCCCCCTCCCTTAACAACCCTAGACCCTAAACCCTAAACATCCCTAAACCCTAAACCCTAAACCCTACACCCTAAACCCTAAACCCTAAACCCAAGAACCCTAAACCCAAGAACCCAACAAAAAGGGGCCTTCTTCTCCTTCTTGGCGCGCTTGCCCTTCTTCTGCGGGCAGAGCTCCTCCCACGAGTCCACCACGGCGCTCATGTCGGTCTACTTGGGGTCCTTTTGGTGGTCCCTTGCAGTCACCTCACATGGACCTCTTTTGAGAGCCTTTTTGAACCGCAACACAGCTGCAGCGAGGGGGGGCTCCACTGCCATGCTTCGGGGGTGGGGGTGAAGTCACTTCTTGGGATTCGTGGCGCGGGACTTTTCAGGTCCCAGTGGGACCTTGTGGGACCTTTTGGGGCTTCTGAGGCCTGCGCGGAAGTGGCAGCGCCGACGTGCGCTCTTTCGGCCCTCACAAGGACATACTCTGGGGTCACTCCACGGTCTCGGGAGATGGGTGAGGAGTAGACTGGGCGAGGAGAACCACCTAGTCTCATATCTAACAACCCCACACCGAGAATCCGGTAAGCCCCTAAACCCTAAACCCTAAACCCTAAACCCTAAACGCGTCAGCCGAGAGTCAAGCCTTGGCCATCCCGAGCGATGGGCTGCCCGGCGTCCCACGGCCGCGCCGCACTTCTCCAAGAATCCCCCCCCTCCCGGACAGCAGGATTCCCAGTCACGGCTTTGGTTCTAAGGGTTTAGGGTTTTAGGGTTTTAGGGTTTAGGGTGTAGGGTTTAGGGTTGAGGGTTTAGGGTTCAGGGTTCAGATCGGACTTTACAGCCAAGTTCCCACCCCCTGAGCATGGATGGCTTCAGGCAGCGGTGGGTGCGACACCTTACCCACTGAGCACCTTGAACGCCTACACCCAACGAAGCCACCCTTAAAGTCCTCAACCCTAAACCCTAAACCCTAAGCCCCAAACCCTAAACCCTAAACCCTAAACCCTAAACCCTTAAGCCCTGAACCCTCAACCCCCCGAACTCCTAAAACCCTCAAGCCATAAACTTGAACCCTGCGTGATCACTAAAGTCCAAACACCCTTAACCCTACCATCCTTAAACCCAAGCCCTAAGCCCTAATCCTAAACCCAAGAACCTAAACCCCAAGCAACTCTAAACCCTAAACCCTGAACCCTCGACCCTAACCCCTGACCCCCTAACCCCTAACCCCAAAAACCCTAAACCCTGAGCAACCCTAAACCCTAAACCCTGAACCCTGAACCCTAAACCCTAAAACCTAAACCCTAAAACCCTAAACCCCAAACCCTAAACCCCAAACCCTAAACCCCAAACCCTAAACCCTAAACCCTAAACCCTAAACCTCTCCTCAGAACCCTTGGAGCCCCCTGGAGGGCTCCCGGCAGGGGTCGCTGGGCCCAGCCCACAGGAGTTGGGCCGCATCCTTGGGGTGCTTTGAGGGGTTTAGGGTTTAGGGTTTAGGGTTTAGGGTTTAGGGTTTAGGGTTTAGGGTTTCGGTTTAGGGTTTAGGGTTTCGGGTTTCGGGTTTAGGGTTTAGGGTTTAGGGTTGAGGGTTTGGGGTTTAGGGTCTAGGGTTTAGGGTGTAGGGCGCTTGCGGATGACACAGGGCTTAGGGCCCGCAAACCCAAGAATGACACAGTGGACCCGGTAAGTCCCAGTATGACCCCCCATCAAGAAACCCTGCGAGCCCAAGAGGCCCCAATAAACCCTCAACCCTAAACCCTAGAACCCTAAACCCTGAACCCTAAACCCTAAACCCTAAACCCTGAACCCTAAACCCTAAACCCTAAACCCTAAACCCTAAACCCGAATATGAAGAATATAGGGGCCTAATCTAATTAGAACAGGGTTTGGGGGGGTTCTCGTAGTGTATTGATATCTGGACCATGAGAGAACACGATTAGTAATTCTTCCGACCCCTATATTAAGCCCTAAACCCAAACCCTAAACCCTAAACTCCCAAGCCTAAGCAGAAAAGAGTCCAGCATGCTGCGGCGGGGGGGTGTTCAGGACACCCACGGGTCGCAACGGCCTCTTCATGGCAATTTTGGGTTTGGGGTTTGGGGTTTGGGGTTTGGGGTTTGGGGTTTGGGGTTTGGGGTTTGGGGTTTGGGGTTTGGGGTTTGGGGTTTGGGGTTTGGGGGTTGGGGTTGGGGTTTGGGGGGGGGGGGGGGGGGGCGGGGGGGGGGGGAGGGGGGGCGCAGGGCTTAATCGTGTTAAGGGTTTAAGGGGTTTGAGGGTTTCAGTGTTTAAGGGCTCAAGGGTTTAAGGGTTTAAGGCTTAAAGGGTTTCAGGGTTAAAGGGTTTAAAGGGTTTGAGGGTTTAAGGGCTTCGGACTTAACAGTCCCTGCTGCATTCTCGGCCGCACCCTTAAACCCTAAACCCTACACCCTCAGGTTCAGCCCCAAAAAATCCATTTAACCCCCAAACCTCTGAACCCTAAACCCCAAATCCTAAACCCCAAGCCCAAACCCCAAACCCCAAACCCTCAATCCTGCACCCTCATCCCAACAAGCCCGCTCGGCGACGCCTCGGGGGTGGTGGCGGTGCCGGCGGTGCGGGTGGAGCTGGCGGCAGGGGCCGCGATGTATCTGGCAGTGGTCCGGCGGGGTGGCCCTAAACCCCTGGTTCTTCTGTGGTTCAGGGCTTGGGTTGCCAGGTCTCGGGGATACTGTACGTCGAAACAAGAAGCCAAGACTGATCTGAGGGTAGTGGCCCGGGGGGCGGCAGGGATGCGCATGGGACTTCATGACTTGGAGGCTCTTGCGACTTGGAACTTTACGATTCAGGTTTAGGATTTGGGTTTAGGGGTTTAGGGGTTTAGGGGTTTAGGGGTTTAGGGGTTTAGGGGTTTAGGGGTTTAGGGGTTTAGGGGTTTAGGGGTTTAGGGGTTTAGGGGGTTAGGGGTTTAGGGGTTTAGGGGTTTAGGGGTATAGGGAACCTCTCAAGCTTGCCACCATCAACAAGATCTGCAGCCAAGCGGCTCAAAACAGAAGAAGACGCCGCCGCGGTCGCCGCGGTGGCGGACGCCGGGGTCTCTGGGGTGCTGGTCGCAGGGGTGGGCGTCGGAGTGGCTTGTGTGGCTTGTGCACCTTAGTTGCTGAGTTCATAAGCCCCAAAAAAGTGTACCTTTTCAGTTCTGTAGGGGATTCTAGTATCCCGAAAAGTGTCAAGTGTACTCACAACAGCTGCTCAGGCACTTGGAGCGGGAGGATCTGGAGGTCTCGGTGTGCTTGAGACCGCAGGAGTCTCCGAAGGAGTGGAAGCCGGCGCCGCGGCTGCCGGGGGCGCTGCGGCCGCCGGGGCTGCCGCGTCTGGCTTAGCTTCCTTGCTGGGTATGTGTCCTTTGTGGGTTCAGGGGGGAGGGGTGGAGGGGAGGGGGGGTGGAGGGGAGATTCTTCTGGGGGGCTGTAGCTGGGGTCTTATAGGGTTTTTGTCGTGGTTGAGCCCTCATTCTTCAACCCCGAAACCCTAAACCCTCATGCAACCCTAAAATCCTAAACCCTCATGCAACCCTAAAGCCCTAAACCCTAAGCCCTAAACCCTAAACCCTAAACCCCTAAAGTTTGGAGCTTGGAGTTCTCTGAAGCCCTGCCAGCCTTGGCCTCGGTCTTCCCGTCCTTCTCCGCCTCGTCGCCGCTTGGCGCCTGCCAAAACATAACGCATGGGCGAGGTTTAGGGTTTAGAGTTTCGGGTTTAGGGTTTAGGGCTTAGGGTCCGAATGACCTTTAAGATTGGGCTTTCATCGTGAATTTCCCGTTAATTCTCCTCGAGTTTCAAATCTAAAAGAGAGAGAGAGAGAGAGAGATGAGTTCCGACGAACGGACCCCTGCAAATTTCGGATAACTGGAACATCTGCGGGACATTTCCCTGCAGTCCTAGTGAAGTCACAGTCGAAAAACCAGCTACCAAGAGCATGCCTCTCGTGGACAAAGAGCGTGCAGGGTTTAACAAACACAAAACGAGCTGGTCCTCCGAGCAGAGAACCATCGAGAACTAACTGCGGATGTTTGTGGAGTCAAGGCGCGTGGTGCCTCAAGAACCGAACCTGGCTATGCCAAACCAACCACCCCCGACCATGCTACAGAAGGCGAGCGAAACCTACACAAAACTAACAGCTGATCACCCTCAAAAAGGTAGGGATTATCGTACCCCCCGATCAGATTCCGTACTAAGGAGCTCTTAGTATAAGCGGGAACATCCCAAACTTGGCACCCTCAACCCTGCACAGTCAACATTGTGCCCTAAACCCTAAACCCTAAACCCTAAACCCTAAACCCTAAACCCTAAACCCCAAACCCTAAACCCTAAACCCCAGTTGGCATGTTCAAAGCACCTCAGTGACTTCGCTGTCACTGTCTTCGGCGGGGGCAGGCTCCACCTTCAAAGCAACGAGCGAGCGAGCTCTCAAACTGTTGGGTCGACAGTGGGTTGGGATGTCTTGGGGCTTCGGTTTAGGGTTTCGGGTTTAGGGTTTAGGGTTTAGGGTTTAGGGCTTAGGGCTTAGGGCTTAGGGCTTAGGGCTTAGGGCTTGGGGCTTGGGGCTTGGGGCTTGGGGCTCAGGGCTTAGGGTTTAGGGTGTTGAGGCATGCACGAAAAGGAAAAAAGACTGGCGCCTTGCTCTTCTTCTCCTGGGACATCAGCGGCTCAGCGGCCACGCGCTTGCCTGCGCTGCAATGCGAAGAGTCAGCAATTCCTGGCACTTGGGGTTTAGGGTTTGGGGTTTGGGGTTTAGGGTTTAGGGTTTAGGGTTTAGGGTTTAGGGTGTAGGGTTTAGGGTTTAGGGTTTAGGGTTTAAGGCTTCGGAATCTTGATGCCCCTCAGCTCGATAACCCAGCTGCGAGAAGAACAAGTCACGCCTGCATTGCCAGCTGCGCCCGCACCCCCAGTTCGGGAGGCCAAGGACCTTACAAGCAGCAAGGCTGCACTGGTTTAGGGTTTCGGGTTTTGGGTTTATGGTTTAGGGTTTAGGAATCAGGGTTTAGGGTTTAGGGTTCAGGGTTGCGGGCTCAGAGCCTAGTGGAACAATACAGGCCGGAGGCAGCGGAAGGGGGGCGGGGGTTTTCTGAGAAGAAGGTCATGTATCTAAAGCCAAACATGGGAATCGGGTTTAGGGTTTAGGGTTTAGGGTTGGGTTTAGGGTTTAGACTCTGCATGTGATGGAGTGTTCGAATAAGGGCCTGCTTACGAAAACCTTTTCATTGTAAGAAGGTCCCGCGAATGGTCAGTCTTCTGAATTGTTCCCCGTTCTGGGTCCATGAGGGATGCGGGATTTCAAGCACACCCTCTCCAGAGCTTCTGACTCAACTGGACCAACCACACCCCTAACCGCTAGACCTCAAAACCCAAAAGCCTGAACCCTAAATCCGAAGACCGAAGGCCCTACACCCTATCTCCTCTCAGCCTCAAGCCCTACACCCTAAACCCTCAACCCTCAACCCTAAACCCTGAACCCTAAACCCGAAACCCTAAACCCCTAAACCCTAAAGCCTGTGCCTTGCGATCGGGAACGAACGACTTGCGAGTCCGTCTCTGCCTAAGCACCCCCACGCAGCGACTTCTGCAGCCTTCTGCCTGCATTAGGGTTCAGGTTTAGGGTTTAGGGTTTAGGGTTTAGGGTTTAGGGTTTAGGGTTTAGGGTTTAGGGTTTAGGGTTTAGGGTTTAGAGTTTAGGGTTTAGGGTTTAGGGTTTAGGGTTTAGGGTTTAGGGTTTAGGGTTTAGAATTTGGGGTTTAAGGGCTCGGTTTTGAAGCCCTGACCGGAGCCCTGAAAAACACAAACCCTACAGACACCCACGCAAAAAATAGCAAAAAAATCATAGACCCGATCACATGCCCGCTAAGCCCGCTAAACCTCCAGCTTCAAGCTCTTCCTTCGGAAGATTCAGCCCCGAACCATGAAAAGTTGTGGACTTCCCTGAAATTCGCCCCCCGAAGACCCAGCAAAACGTGCCGACAGCTTCCCCCTGACTGGGGCCCCTGAGCCCTGAAACCACTCTCAGGCCTGCAATGTCTTCAAACCCCAGAGCGCGAAGCTTGCACTCCCTGAGCTTACTCAAGCAGGTCACCCTAAACCCTAAACCCGAAACCCTAAACCCCCTAGAAACTTGGGCTCTGGAGCATGGCTCTGAGCCCAAACATTTCAATCTTTTCAACACGGTCCACGTCTTTCTGAAACCTGTGGGGCCTATCGGTGTCTCATAGGGTTTGCAGGGTGTACATGGCGTGGAGGGTTTTTGGGACTTACAATCAAGTTTACAGAGCGTATAGGAGTTGTCGTTCAGGCTTCAGGCTATGAGCTTTAGAGGGCATCGGAGCTACTCCAGCTTGGCGCCACCCGCAAGACCTCAGGGATCGCTGCCGTCTTACAGGAGAGTTCAGGGCTGGAGGGGGTCGGGTCGCGAGATATTTTCCGACGCTGCACGCAAAGCGCTGGAGATGCCATCTAAAGTTCTGTGCGGAAGGAGATGTCAAAGTCCCCTTGGCTGATACGACAACAGCGAATTGCCAACGTCAAGTCGATGTCCAAATGTCCAGGTAGCAGCCAAGCGAACTCTGCCGGATAACCGCACAAACAAAAAGACCGGGTCCTACAGAGCTTTACGTGGCTTTAGCTGTAACTGTTGTACATGGAAAATGGGTCGGGTCGCGAGACTTTTTCCCACGGTGCAAGGAAAGCGCTGGAGATACCAGCTAAAGTTCGGTGCGGAAGGACATGGCACAGTTCACTTGGCTGATACGACAACAGCAAATTGCCAACAGGTACCAAGCGGACTCTGCCAGATAACCGCACAAGCCAAAAGACTAGGTCCTAAAGAGCTTTACGTGGCTTTAGCTGTAACTTTTGTGCTTGGAAAATGCGGGCCAGAACAGGCTCAACCCGTCAGACCTCGACATGGACTAGTTACAAAGCATTTCTGCCCCAGACGGCCTTAGCCATGGGATGGCAGCGAAAGGCAACAATGAAAGCAAATCAAGGTGTGCTCCGCAAAGGCGTGGCTCCGGAGCTTGAAGGGTCGGTCTGCCCGGAGGGCAAAAAAAGGGTCACGTATAAGTACGTTGCTGCGGCCATGCACGGCACTGCCCTGCAGCTGCGCAAACTACATTCATACTCGCCCCAGCCGATCATGCAATACTGAGCGGCTCAAGACAGGATGCGCAACAAGCAGGGCTCACAAGAGCGCGACACGCCACCCCTGTGATTCCGCATGCCGGACCACAGGCAGTCACGGGCCAACCCAGAGCCACTTGCCCTCGCCACGAGGATCTCGAGGTTGCGTGGGCATATCCGGCACGTTGCCCTCAGCCCATGCCTCTCCAAAGCGTGCCTGGCGACGCCTCTCCACCTGCACCTGGAAGGCATGTGGACTCTTGGCAACATTGATGAGGTAGCTGTTCAGCTGCCGGACGTAGAAACGGTGGGTGGCGCGGTCAGGCGCAAAGTTCTCCTTGGGAGGCGTTGGAAAGGTCTTGGGCACGTAGAACACCGAGGTAGCACTGGCTGGCTCCGCGGTATGGCTACAGCTCCCACTACACCCCATGGCAAGGATCCGACCGAGCTATGGAGATCTATGGAGCTCCGGAAGTACCGGAGCCTCGGGGGAACTCCTTCAGGCTGCTGAGATTCTCAGATGATAGTCGGCACACGGGAAGCCTCCTCCCTGCCGGCCATTGAAACAACAACCTCCCCAAATTCTCCAAAAGGGCGGTGCCTCCCCAGAACCTTGAAACAATCGCACTTTGCAACTGGGCCGAGGGATCCACAAAGATCCTGGCCCTTTGTAGGGAATCAGGGAATTCGGTCAGGTACTATCCCCGCGCGTCGGCCCACTTCGCCAATTCGGGTGGGTTCAAACAAAAACGCCCAGCCCCCAAACCCCAAACTCTAAACCCCCAAACCCCACAAACCCCAAAGACCCAAAAACCCCGCACAAACCCTAACTCCATGCCTTGTGAACTCTAAACACCCGAAACACCCGAAACGGCCGAAACACCCCAAATACCCTAAGAACCCTAAACGCCCTAAACCCTAAACCCCAAACCCTCGCCCCAAGGCATCCTTGCGAGTTCTGCAGCAGCGGCCCGGGTGCCAGGCCTTGTGAGGGGCTTAGGGCTCTTGAGATGTTTGCGTTTTCAAGCTTTGAATTACGGGCGTTGGGGGTTGGGTTTTGGGCTTCGGGTTTAGGGTCCAGGGTTGAGGAAGGGTGCTTGGGGTTTAGGGCTTAGGGTGTTGCGGGTGTTTAGGGCTTAGGGCTTTCAAGGGCTTTGAGGGCTTTAAGGGTTTTTAGGGTTGGGGTTTCGCTTTCTCTGCTCCTTCAGAAGATTCTTGGGAGTCCACCAGTAGAGGGGCCTATTGAAGTAGAACGCGCGCTTTGAGTAGTGCATGCCATCCTTTTATAGGATGACATCCCGGAAAAATGCTTCATATATGCTTCTTTCCTACCCCAAAAAGATGAAGATTGGAAAATGGCAAGGCTCCAGGCTGAAGGTTTGGCTGCAGGAGGGAAGGGTTGAAGGTTGAGTTTGGGGGGAAGATCCCGAAACCGAACTCCTAAAAATCTGTCTGTCTGTCACGGGCGTGGCAAGAGCCGGCCCTGAAATCCCCAATTTTACCCCAACATCCCCGAAACCGGGCTGCTGTTCAGGAAATCAGAAACAGGATCTGTCAGCCTAATTTCGGTTCCTTAGCCCTACTTCTCCAATGACCAGGGAAAAAAGCTATGAAGCTCAACTATCGGAACAAACCCTGAAACCCCCAAAACTTCGACCCCTGGGGATATAGACCCTCTGAATAAGGTCCCTGTTTAAGAGAAAGCCCTGCACGACACCCGCCTGTGAAGTTCGGTCGAGGCCTTCGCCTGTGGGTAGGGAGCCAAGGGCCAAGGAGGAATCTTCCTTGCGGAGAGTTTGATGAGGGCCCTAAACCCAACAAGCCCTTGAGCCAACCCTAAGCCCTAAGCCCTAAACCCCAAACCCTAAACCCTACCCTGAACCCTAAACCCCAAACCCGAAACCCTAAACCCCGCAACCCTAAACCACAAACCCTAAGCCTAAACCCGAAACCCCTCAACCCTCAACCTCAACCCTCAACCCTCAACCCTCAACCCTCAACCCTCAACCCTCAACCCTCAACCCTCAACCCTCAACCCTCAACCCTCAACCCTCAACCCTCAACCCTCAACCCGCAACCCTCAACCCTCAACCCTCAACCCTCAACCCTCAACCCTCAACCCTCAACCCTCAACCCTCAACCCTCAACCCTCAACCCGCAACCCAAACCCTAAACCCTCAACCCTCAACCCTAAACTCTAAACCCCAATCCCCGCACCTCTTTCGGGGCCTTGGCCTCCTTCGCCACGGCGCTTTGCGCGGCAGTCCTGGAGGCCCGGGTCTCTGTATGATCGGGGGGTTTTAGGGTTTAGGGTTTAGGGTTTAGGGTTTAGGGTTTAGGGTTTAGGGTTTAGGGTTTAGGGTCTAGGGTTCAGCATCTCATGTACTAGCTTTCACTCGTCGAGCTTTTTCATCTTGTGATGGAGAAGTACCCACCCACCCAGAGAATCCCAATATCATTAAGAAAGTGGGCGGGGGGTTGCCGACGAAGGTTTGTGCCTTGCCAACGAAGACTAAGGTTTGTGCCTATGCCGACGAAGCCATTAGGGTTTCTTTCTTTATTTATTTATATATTTATATAGATAATAAGAGAGGTTTAGGGTTTAGGTTTTAGGGGTTTAGGGTTTTAGGGTTTAGGGTTTAGGATTTAGGGCTATAGGGGCGTCAACAAATTAGAACAGAATGTTGGGCGTTCTAAAAATAGAAATATATAGGGACCATAGGGGAATTCTAGTCGTAACTATTCCGACCCCTATGTTATGTTAGGGGTTTGGGGCTGTTTGGGGTTTGGGGGTCATATAGGGGTTTAAAGGGGTTGAGGTTCTAATAGGGGGTTTTGGGGTTTAAAGCTTAGGATGTAGGATTCAGGAGCATTAGGTGCTGAGGATTAGGGGTTTAGGGGCTTACGCTTCAGGGCTGAAGAGCTACGTTTACGTACACCATGTTTAGAGTGGGGGGGAAGTGGGGAACCCAAACCCCACAACCCCGAATTCCCTAAACCCTGAACCCCAAGCCCCAAACCCTACTCAACCCTAAACCCTAAACCCTCAACCCTAAACCCTAAACCCCTAAGCCCTAAAGCCCCAAAAAGCCCCTAAAGCCAAAAGCCTTTGCCGCCCAGGTGCGCTGGAGGCGCCTCTGCTTTTGGCGCGGGCTCCGTGGTTGGAGCTTCCTTCTTGGGCCTGGGGGGGGATGGATGGGATTTAGGGTTTAGGGTTTAGGGTTTAGGGTTTAGGGTTTAGGGTTTAGGGTTTAGGGTTTAGGGTTTAGGGTTTAGGGTTTAGGGTTTAGGGTTTAGGGTTTAGGGTTTAGGGTTTAGGGTTTAGGGTTTAGGGTTTAGGGTTTAGGGTTAGGGTTTAGGGTTTAGGGTTTAGGGTTTAGGGTTTAGGGTTTAGGGGGTTTAGGGTTTAGGGTTTGGGTTTAGGGTTTAGGGTTTAGGGTTTAGGGTTTAGGGTTTAGGGTTTAGGGTTTAGGGTTTAGGGTTTAGGGTTTAGGGTTTAGGGTTTAGGGTTTAGGGTTTAGGGTTTAGGGTGCCCGAAACAGACAACCAGTGCACCGAAGAATTTTGCGCGGCCTAGCGGCACAGCAGGCCTTCTGTGCTAGTCAACGCAAACAAGGCTTCAAGGGGTCTTCCAGGAAGCTTATCTTGGCTGCACTCAGGAGGGTAGCTAAACTTTAAACTTTTAGCTGCCTTATCAAGAAACCCAATTAACACAAAAAGGGTAAGGATCTAAAGTTACAGTAAAGTACCACAAAGTTATATGGGCCTTGGCATATACCCCCTAAATAGTATGATTCCTTTAAGGACCTTCGTAAGGTACCCCCTAAACCCCCATACGTTTTCCGAGCTCGTTTGCGGTGAAGAAATCTCTTTACCTCATCTCCAAAATCTTCCAAAATTCTCAACTTTGAACCCACTTCCAAGCCTTCCTATAAACCCTAAACACTAAACCCTAAACCCTAAACCCTAAACCCTCTAAAGGGTGGATCTTGGCTGGTGGCGCAGTCGCTGATGGCCGTCCCTCCAGGGCTGACTTTGGCTTGTCCTTGACGCTGTGCTTCGGGGTTTATGAGAGGGGGATGTAAGTAACAAGCCCTTCTGGGTTTAGGATCGGGTCTGGGGTTTAGGGCTTAGGGTTTAGGGTTTAGGGTTTAGGGGAACTAGATCAACACCCAGAATGGTCTCAACAAATCCAAGGCGAAGCTTACCCACGAGTCTTCGTCTGAAGACATTATCAATCAAATCTTGCGGTTTCTGCTCGGCTGGAAACAGCTGCTTTTTCACAGACTCACAACACTGAATTCCGCTCCAAACGCGAAGTTAGTCAGAGTTTGCACAAAGCGATGCAGCCTGTGATTTGCTTCACCCTTTTTGTTGGTTTTCCTACACTGCTTGATTCAGCTTCTTCACAGAGACCTCTAGGAACTGAAAGGTGCAACAGGCTCAGACCTCACTCGGGAAGCTCACCAAATTCGTGTCACTTGTTGAATACCAAGCCCTGAGATTCAGGGCACCCTAACCCCTACACCGTAAACCCTAAACCCCGAAACCCTAAACCCTAAAACCCTAAACCCTAAAACCCTAAAACCCTAAACCCTAAACCCTAAACCCTAAACCCATACCCTAAAAAGTGCACTTCTGAACCCGCGACAGAAAAGCCCATGAAGGGTTGGACCTTGGCTGCCACAGGCTCGCCCCAAGCAGACGCCACCTGGTTTGGGGCTGAGGGCTTAGGGCTCAGGCGGGTTTAGGAGGGCTTGGGAGGGCTTCGGAGGGTTTAGGAGGGTTTAGGGTTTAGGATTTGGGGTTTAGGGTGTAATTAGGCCGCAGGGTGTAGGGTGAGGGTGGAGGGTGTTTAGGGCTCGGGGGTTGCAAGTGGGTCTCCCAAAGCGGGCCCTTGATTGTGCGGGTCCTTCTATGCCTATTGCGTCACCGGATTTGTACCTTTAGAGGCTTCCTTATGTTAAAAAGACGCGGGGCCCAATGTAGGTCTCCGCTTTATAAAGCATGGGCCCTTGATTTGGGGTCCTTAATACCCAAAACCCCCGAAGCCGGCAACATCCCTCAAAAAGGAGGCAAAAAAAGTCTCCAACCCAAGCCAACAGAAACAAACCTCTCAACTAAACCCTAAACCCTCAAACCTAAACCCAAAACCCATAAAAACACACGCTAAGCCCTAAACCCCAAACCCTAAACCCCAAACCCTAAACCCTAAACCCTAAACCCCGGAGTGCCAAAGCCTCAGGTTTCGAGGCGACGGGCGCGGCCCAAGCCGACGCCAAGGCGGGCTGCAGAGCTCAAACGGGGGGAGGGGGTTGAGGGTTTAGGGTTTAGGGTTTAGGGATTAGGGTTTTGGGTTTTGGGCTTAGGGTTTAGGGGGATAAGGCCGTCTCGGGGTAAGGCTCGTAGTATAAGAGCTGAGGCTTAATGGGGGAGTAGAGCTTCGGCTGTGGACTTTCGGCCTTATGGTGGTTCTGGCTTTCGAGGCTTCGGAACCATGCTTGATAGGGCGTAGACTGTAGATCTAAGAGCAATTCACCCTACCCCAAACCCATACCCCTTAAACCTTAAATTATACAAGGAGATTCTAAGGGAGTCTAAGGGAGGATGTCACCATACCCCTTCACTTCGTTTAAGGGTATGTCTAGGGGCTATGTTTCTGCAGGGCGCGGAGGGCTAAATTAAGTCTGCCCCCCAGCCCTGTGGAACCTGCTTGCCGGCCAACATTTTGGCCACGCGTGCTGCGGCAGCCGTCGTGGCATTCGCACCTGAAAGGTTTAGGGTTTAGGGTTTAGGGTTTAGGGTTTAGGGTTTAGGGTTTAGGGTTTGGGGTTTGGGGTTTGGGGTTTGGGGTTTGGGGTTTAAGGTTTAGGGTTTAGGGTTTAGGGTTTAGGGTTTGGGGTTTAGGGTTTAGGGTTTAGGGTTTAGGGATTAAGGTTCAGATTTAGGGTTTATGGTTCAGGGTTTTGGGGTCTAGGGCTTTGGGTTTAGGTGCCAGATGCTCAAAGCAAAGCTTCCTCAGCCCTACAACTGGACATCTTCTGGCAAGGTGGTGGCTCCAAACTCTGCGACCCCTTTTACTCCCTAAACCCTAAACCCTAAACCCTAAGCCCTAAACCCTAAACCCTAAACCCTAAACCCTAAACCCAACCAAGGAGCCACAACTTAGATCCACTCCCACATGCTTGCTGGTGTCCAAGGCTGCGTAGTGGGCTTTTATGACTGCAGGTGTTCGAATGTGTCTTTATGCTGGAAGAAACCGTCCGAGGGAGAAAAAAGAACTAGCAAGTTCGACTGATTCACTCTGGAGATCTAGGACTACAAAGGCAACACATCCGTGGTTTTCAGTTCCGGGGGTTCCCTAGCCCTTTCACCAATGGAAGCCGCTCAGAAACCAGCCCTGCAGCTGGGCTTTTGCTAAGTGACACTCATGCACTGAAAGGGCAACTCACTCTAAGTAGCCCGCTGGTGGCTCGCGCATCTGGCGGCACCTGCGCTGCAGGAACAAGGACCTACCTCACGGGTGTCGAATGACGAGCTGAAAGCCCAAACCTTCACTGGCAGCTCGAAACCATCCACACATCATGAGCCTTCACTTAGACCGGGTTTAGAGCGTTAGGGGCGTTAGGGGCGTTAGGGGTGTTAGGGGTGTTAGGGGTATTAGGGGCACCCTAAACCCTAAACCCTAAACCCCGTTGGGAGTGTGATCGGGGCTCGGCTCTTGCCCTGAGTGCAAGCGAAACGCACCGCGTGCCTTGGAAGGCGCCGAAGCAGGGGGCCTGGTGCGGAATTGGAACATCGAGGGCTTCGGGCGTTTAGGGTTTAGGGTTTAGGGTTTAGTGTTTAGGGTTTAGGGCTTAGGGCTTAGGGCTTAGGGTTTAAGGCTTATAAGGTTCAAGGTGTAAGGCTTGGAGAACTTATTGGGCTCCCCCCTGACATGACTAAGCGGTTCCTCTATGGCTCGGTACACGCAGCCACCACAAACCTTCATCTCACAGCCCAATGCCAACCTCGAGGCGCCCCAAATCCGTACAGGACAGCCGCTGCCGCAGAAGTCCCGCAAGCTTGGGGCTTGGGGAGCTTAGAGTGTAGGGTTTCGTGTTTAGGGTTTAGGGCCCCTAAACCCTAAACCCTAAACCCTAAACCCTAAACCCTAAACCCCAAACAGGGTTTTGCCCTCAGGGCTTAGGGCTTAGGGCTTAGGGCGTGGGGAAAACCAAAACGTGAAAGATCAGGGGTCCTCCAGGGTTCGCTTTGGTGGCGCGAAGGCCGGCCGCCCACCTGCAGGGGGTTCGAGGATTTAGGGTTTCGGGTTCGAGGGTTTAGGGTTTAGGGTTTAGGGTTTAGGGTTTAGGGTTTAGGGTTTAGGGGTTTAGGGTTTAGGGTTTAGGGTTTAGGGTTTAGGGTTTAGGGTCAGGGTTTAGGGCTACTAGGGTTTAGGGTTTAGGGCTACTAGGGTTGCGGGTTCAGGGTTCACGGTTACTCGGATTTAGGGCTAGCGTTTAGGGCTACTAGGGTTGAGGGTTCGAGGTTCAGGGTTACTAGGGTTTAGGGTTACTAGGGGTTAGGAATACTAGGGTTCAGGGCTACTAGGGCTTAGGGTTACTTTGGATTTTGGGTGGGTTTTGGGATACTAGGGTTCACGAATTCGGGTTGAGGGTTGAGGGTTTAGGGTGGGCAGCTCTTGAGTGAAAGAGAGGGGGAGGGGGCGAATAGGCGACATCGGCCTGACAGCAGCCTTGAAACCCGAAACCCTAAACCCTAAACCCAAAACCCGAAACCCCAAACCCCAAACCCCTAAAAGGTTTTTACCTTTTTCTGGCTGCGCTCCCAGCAAAATACAGGGTTTGGGTGCTTGGGTGTTTGGGGCTCGGAATGCTTTCCAGACGTGAGACCCGGGAATCCCACAATCCTACGGCGCGACACGAAGCCGTGCGCAGCCAGGTGAACCATATACCCTCAGCTTCGAACCCAAAACCCAAAAACGGAAACTCTGAACTCCTTAAACCCCAAGCCTTCAACTCTGAACCCGACACCCCGAACCTGACGAACCCGAAACCATGGAAACACCAAAAAAAACCTAAACCCTAAACCCTAAAACCTTAAACCAAAAAAACCCAAACCCTGTCAAGGTCGTGACAGGCAATCGAACCTTCTCACGGGAGCAAAAAATACGATGGGCCGGTGACACCAAAATCAACCCTCAACCCTCAACCCTCAACCCTCAACCCTCAACCCTCAACCCTAAACCCTAAACCCTAAACCCTAAACCCTAAACCCTGTCCACCGCGATGCCCGGGGCCTTCTCGCTGCGTGCCCCGGCCTTCTCGCTGCGCCGCTGTGCGGGAGCTTCGCTGGCCGGCCTTGAGCCAAGGTTCTTCAGGAGTTTAGGGTTTAGGGTTTAGGGTTTAGGGTTTAGGGTTTCAGGGTTTAGGGTTTAGGAGTTCAGGGCTTTGGGTTTAGGGGTTAGTTTGGGTCGAGATGTTGCCCCTTGTACTAACCGAAGAGTTCAGGGTTGGGATGGGTTTAAAGGGTTGAATGGTTCAGGGTTCAGAGCTTGCGGCGGAAAAAATGTGCTCGGAGCCGAATTCTCGGCCGAACGACTTTGTAAGACCCAAGCCCCACCCGAAACCCCTACACCAATAAAGCCCCCTAAATCCCTAAATCCCTGAACCCCACATCCCTGAACTCCTGAGCCCTCAAAAAAAACTCTTGACCCTCATCCACACCCGTAAGACTCTCCCTAAACCCTAAACCCTAAACCCTAAACTCTCTGGTGCGATGGATGATCCGAGGAGGGCACAGTGGGCTCGGAGAAGGTGAGTTTGGCGAGTAGGCCTCTGCAAGCAAAAAGTTTAGGGTGCCCCTAAACCCTAAACCCTAAACCCTAAACCCTAAACCCTGGCAAGGCTTTAGGGGCTTGAGACTTTAGGGGGGGGGGGGGGCTTTCGCTCCCTTGAGAACTTCCCCACAACTCAGCTTGGAAATCGTGAGCGAACGTAGGGGTTGGTTTGTACTTAATTCATGTGTGTATGTATATTTATATATACATACACATACATACATACATATATATATATATACATACGCGGGTTCACGAAAATAACGGACCCTAATAATGGCCCAAGTAGTAGGAAGAACGTACCCCTAATTTCGGAAACCCCCATATGTATGCTTGTGAAGTTTACGCCTGATGTCACCTGTGAGTTTCATGGTGAGCAAAACCGCAAAACCCCTTAAAAGTTCATGATGAGCAAAACCGCAAAACCCCTTAAAAGTTCAAGAGTGCAGATCCAGAATTGGCTGCTTTCGTGAAGGTTTCATTGAGGAGAACTATCTTAGTGAAGAGAAGCCCTTGCATCTTTCGCGGAAGCCGGCATGATACTGACTCGATAATGGCTTTTGGGCTTTGGGCTGCGGGGGTTTTAGGGCTTGTAAACCCTAAACGCCCTAAACCCTAAACCCTAGTTGATGACACAGGGTTGGTGGGCTACCAAGCCGGGGATTTTGTGTTCAGGCGAGTCTGTCCTGTGGGTCGTTCTCTTAACTCGGGTCCCCTTTGGGGTCCCCTATATGATACGGCACCCTTCTAAGAAGGACCCCAAAAGGGACCCCAATATAGAGAACTACCCCTGTGCGCGGCGCACGCTTTGAAACTAAGCACGCGTGGTCAGACAGCGTACATCAGGCCTTCTACAGGTCGCGGGACCATCTAGCCCTGAACGTGAAAATCCCTCAGCCCCTAAAATCGCCTGCGCCCCTAAACCCTAAACCCTAAACCCTAAACCCTTAACCCTTAACCCTTAAGCCCCAAACCCCGATCCCTGAAGCTCCCAGAAGACTGCTCCGCCTCCTCGAAGGGCCAGGCACGTATGCTAGGCTGCGCCCGGTCCTCGTTGCAAGGGCTTCAGGAAGGGTTTAGGGTTTAGGGTTTCGCGTTTAGGGTTTAGGGTTTAGGGTTCAGGGGTTCAGGGGTTCAGGGGTTTAGGGGTTTAAGGGTTTAGGGGTTTAGGGGTTTAGGGTTTAGGGGTTTAAGGGTTTAGGGGTTTAGGGGTTTAGGGGTTTAGGGGTTTAGGGGTTTAGGGGTTTAGGGGTTTAGGGGCCAAGTTCCAGCGCTCACCAGCCAAGCAGCTTTTCAATCAACAGGACAATACACCCGCCCAAGGAATCCCACAACTGTAAGAAAATATAAAGTTCACTCAATCCATAAACCCTGGACTCCATTCCCTAGGCCCTCAGGCTTCAAAGGCACGAAAACTTGTGGGCAAGGCCCAAAACCCCCAAACGGGCCACGAATTCTTGTCCCACGAGTTTTTGTACCTTACCACGAACGTGCCTGACGCACGAATTTCATTCGGGTCGTAATTACTATACGATAGAGAGGGTTTGAAGGCTCGTTGAGCTCAAAGTGTAGGCCAGCTCTCTTGTTCAAGAAAACCGGCTTGACCTCAACTACACTGTGGCGACTTCATGTTCACTAGTACTAGCATGAGCTTGCGTTGAGGGCCTTAGGGGGTCCGTTTAGGCAATAGTGTCCCCAAACCCGAAACCCCTGAGAGCTCCTAAAGAAGCCCCAAAAAGCTCCTCCTCTGCAGGCTCCATCTTTGTGACGGCCACGGCCTGCAGGAACCATGACGGACTCGTCTTACTTCTCTCCTCCCAACCTTAGCCTTACCACAAAACCCTGAACAACTCAACAACCCTTAGCCCGAAACCCTAAACCCTAAACCGAACCCTCAACCCAAAACCCCTAACCCCCAAGGGTACCTTCAGCGCCCGGGCTAAGAACCACCAGATGAGGCGAGGCCTTCGGTCGCTGGGGCGACGTGACGTCCGCCACCCGGTTGTCCTGGGCGTGCCAGGCTGAACTACAGCACGTTTGTTTAGGGGTTTAGGGTTTCGGGGCTTAGACGCTTCGGGGTTTCAGGATCTTGGGGTTTAAGGGTCTTGGGGCCAAGCCCCAAGCCCCAAGCCCCAAACCCCAAACCCTAATTAAACCCCTAAACCCCAAACCCTAAACCCCAAACCCCAACCCTAAACCCCAAACCCTAAACCCTAAACCCCAAACCCTCAGCCCCGAACCCCAAACCCCAAAAGCGCACCACTCTGGCCTGCGCCGGTACCGTGGCCTCTGGTGGCCTTCAAAGCGACGTCGAAGGATGCAGAGGGTTTCGGGTTTAGGGTTTAGGGTTTAGGGTTTAAGGTTTAGGGCTTAGGGTTTGGGGTTTAGGGTTTAGGGTTTAGGGTTTAGGGTTTATTAAGGGTTTGAGGTTTGGGGTTTAGGGCTTAGGGTTTAGGGTGTAGGGCTCCCTCAACCCAAGCCCCAACCTGCGACATCCTACTGCACCCTGATCCAAGCTTGCAAACCCTGAACCAACCCCAAGCACGAAAACCCTGAAACCCAAATCCCTACATCCCCGAACCCCAAACCCCAAACCCCAAACCCTAAACCCTACATCATAAACATCCGGAGCAGCGGAACCCTAATCCCCAAACCCTACATCACAAAACCCACAGAGAATTTCCAAGAAACCCCCAGACACCGGCCTAAACCCTAAACCCTGAACCCTAAACCCTAAACCCGAAACCCTAAACCCTAAACCCTAAACCCTAAGGAGCTTTGGGCCTGGAAGGGCCAGATGGCGACGCTCCAGAGAGGCCCGGGTCCGGTGTCTGGCGAATCAGGGGGTGAGTTTGCGGTTTAGGGCTTAGGGTTGAGGGTTTGTTTAGGGTTTAGGGTTTAGGGTTTAGGGTTTAGGGTTTAGGGTTCAGGGTTTAGGGTTTAGGGTTTAGGGTTTGTTTAGGGTTTAGGGTTCAGGGTTTAGGGTCTGGGCTTAAGTTCATGGATTAGCAGTATTTTTTCGAAGAAAACGCAGTGAATCAATTGAGTTATAAACGCAGGAATTGAGGGCATGAATTCAATGGACGAACAAGTGAACGAAGCCTGAGATGAAGTGATAATACGTGCGAACTAGCGAGCGAAATAGAATGCAAACATACTCGCGAACCAGCCCGTCAGAAGCCCCAAATTATTGCTATTATGATGACGATGCTGGTGATTATTCTGTTATTATCAATATGTTTATCATTCTCGTTGTTATTATTAGGCTTTTGGAGAGAATCCAAAAGGTAACAAAAGTTGTCTTTAGAGAGGGGGGTGGGGGGGAAGACGGACGTGCCTCCAGCATGGGCTCGCCGTACTTCTTGCACACATGCTCGTACACTTCCCACTCGGAGCCGGCGTACCTTCCGATCCGAGCACGGTGGACTAACATGACCAGGATCCTCATCCTTGTCATTGTGATTCTGATTATCATCACTATGGCTGGTACTAATACTACTGCTATCTTGGTGATTGCGAATTTGTACGTCTTATTCTATTGTGATGGGAATCCGCATGTCGTCAGGGGTGCTTCTCGAAGATCGAGTCCAGTTCCGCCAGCTTCGTCGGGTTCCGACCTGAGAAGAGAGCGATCGCGGCACGGGAACTCCCGGAAAAAGTTAGGGTTTAGGACTTAGGGTTTAGGAGTTGGGGAAGACGGTCTAGGGTTTAAGGTTCAGAGCTTATGGCAAAAACAGGGTCCACAAGAGCCTCACTACGCCCCTCAACCTGCCCCGCAAAAGCACAGCCCCCAAGTCCTGAACAAAACCGACAGAGAACAATACTAAGATTCAAGACAAAAAATGCAAAGAACATAAACAAAAAAAAACCCACACACACACACACACACACAAAACGATAATAGTCGTCTGAAACCTGTCAACCCTCGCCTTAAGCCCTACGGTCCCGGGCGGAAGTAGATGCCGCGGATCAGCTCCCGGAGGCGGGCCGCCTGAAAGGGAGCCGGAGACTTTTCCAGGGTCGGGGGTGAGGCTTTTGGCTTAGGGTTCGGGGGCTTTTGGGGCTTGGGATTTTGGGGTTTTGGGGTTTTGGGGTTTTGGGGTTTTGGGGCTTTGGGGCTTTGGGGTTTTGGGGGGGTTTTGGGGTTTTGGGGCTTAGGGTCTGGGGGTTTAAGGTTTGGGGATTTGGGGCCAGGGAAAAGATGAAAAAGTACAAAGCTTTTTAGTCGGCTTGAATCGACTTGAATGTATTGGGGGGCCGCCCGAAATTAAAGCGTTCGGACCTTCTTGAAGGGACTTAATGTTGTTTTGGGGTCCCTGAGCCTTCATGGGGTCCTGGACGGCGTCACCTCTGGCCGGGGCGGGCGACGCAGCACCGGACTCCTGCTCCTCCACAAAGTCATAGGGGTTTCGAGGGCCCCTTAAGAAACAGATCGAGGGGCTCTCACGTTGAAGTTTTGGAAATGGATCTTGTCCGTTCGGCGGTGGGGCCGGGCTTTGCTTTTCGGTGCTTCCACTTCACTTTGAATTTGGCCCCCATCAGTGCGGCTGTGCCGTGCACATTCTGTTTCGCGAACGACGGCCTGTGTGTTTCGTGGCCGCGGGGATGCTCTTTTTGTAGTGCGACGCACATTTGGACGACCGGGGCACAGCACTCTCGCCCGGCGACAGGCTATGGATCTGCGATGGTACGTTTTTTGCCTGCTCTTGGGGATCTTGGAATGCTCTGGTGGAGTACTCTTTGCGGTCCTATGCACGCTCCGAAGCAATCCGGGTAAAGACCACGGATGTTACAACTGTAGTACGAAAAAGTCTCGTGGCTCTCTGAGTGCGAAACTCAATTCTCCGCCACTCGCATGCTTTTGGGAGTCCATACTGGCATGGTTGGGCTTCAGGGGAGATTGAAGCTTGTAGGCTTTGACAACCCCAAAGCCTTGAACCCCCGAAGCCCTGAAACGCCAAAAGCGGGTCATGATCGACAAGATGCCCCCTGAACCCTAGACCTAAACCGTAGACCCTAAACCCTAACCCCAAACTGACCCCCTTACCCTCCTTCTTGTCCTTCTTCTCTTTGGATCCCTGGCACCAAGCGCTATTTAGGGCTTAGGGTTTCGGCTTTAGGGTTTAGGCGGTTTAGGGTTTCCGGGAGTACCTAGCGTAGACCAGGGGGAAGGAGGGGGGCCGAAGAGCGCGTGACCATTTATCCGTCTATGCTCAGGCCTTGTCCTTCTTGTCCTCCTTCTTGTCCTTCTTGTCTTTGTCCTTCTTCTCCTTCGGTTCCTCAAAGGAAGTTGAGACGCCAGACAGAAAGCAAGGGTCCACTGCCCAGTACCCAGAACCACGCACCCAAGCCACCAAACCCTGCACACCTCAACCCGAGAAGCCAAAAACCTAAACCCTATAAACCCTGTAAACCCTATAAACAACCCGAAACAGAAGCATTAACCTGGCCTTCTTCTCTTTCTTCTCCATCGCCTCATGGGTGGTCGAGGCTTGCGAGGATCAAGGTTCGGGGTTCAGGGTTTAGGGTTTAGGGTTTAGGGTTTAGGGTTTAGGGTTTAGGGTTTAGGGTTTCTCTGCAGCTTGAGTGAGGGCCATTGCTATTGTTTAGAAGGGCTCAACTTTAAGAAACATAAAATCGGGATGCTCCTCCCCCTTATACTCGCAGTCCTTAGTAGGGATTACAATGGGGGGGTATCATCCCTACTAAGGACGGTTACTATACAACATAGAACATGAACCTTGATGATTTTACAACCCTTGCTGACACCCCACAACCCCACCTTCACTCACGATCCCTCACGCCTTCTTCCTTCCGGAACCCTAAAGCCCCAAGCCGATGAACCCCGGAGCTCCGGAACCCCCTGACCCCCTGCACCCCAACACACCCCTTAACCCTAAACCCTAAACCCTAAACCCTAAACCCTAAACCCTAAACCCCAAAAGCAAGAACCCCCTCGATTCTGCGCTGCCTCGGCCAAGCGAGGGTCCACATAATGCCCCCTGGGCGGTGGGAGCTGAGTTTCGGGTCTCGGGCTAGCAGGCCTTTGGGCTTCAGGACGAGAGTTTAGGGCGCTTAGGGGACAGGGACTAGGGTTTAGGGCTTAGGGTTCAGGGTTTAGGGTTTAGGGCTTAGGGTTCAGGGTTTAGGGTTCAAGGTTTAGGGTTTAGGGTTTAGGGTTTAGGGTTTAGCGGTTAGGGTTTAGGGCTTAGGGTTCAGGGTTTGAGGTTCAGGGTTTAAACCCTGAGCGCTTGGGGTCTCCGGGCTAGGAGCTTTTTGTGGCTTAGGGCCTAGGGCAAACCCTCACCCTAAACCCTAAACCCTAAACCCTAAACCCTAAACCCTAAACCCCTTCCTTGCCAAGGCTGGGACCAGGGGTACGGCGGCATGCCATGCCTCAGCTGCCCCAGAGAGAGACTCCGGAGTATTGGGGCCTTACAAGATGCAGGATTTAGGGTTTAGGGTTTAGGGTTTAGGGTTTTAGGGCTTTAAGGTTTAGGAGACCTGAAGCAATGGGCGGTGGTGCGCGCATGTGCTCGGACATGCGGCAGGGCTCACAAAGAAAGCGGGGGTGCATCCTCGCGGCTGGCAACCTTTCGCAAAGACCCTGAACTGAGGATGCCACCTTCCATATGGGGTACTTTCCAAAATAGGGGTACCCCCTTCTATACCCCAAATAGAATAGAATCCCCTTTCAGCGGGAGCCCCAAAAGCGGGCACTCCTAATGTCGGAAACCCCATATTGACAGGGGCATACCACTCTGCGCAGAGAGGCTGCTGCGACAAGCGAAGCCCGAAACCCGAGGCGCCAATTCCTGAAACCCTCAACTCCCAACCCTCAGCCCTCAACCCTCAACCCTCAACCCTAAACCCTCAACCCTCAACCCTCAACCCTCAACCCTCAACCCTCAACCTCAGCTGGAAAGCAGGGGCCCGGCATTCCCATGGGCATGCCTGGCCTGGTTGCAGAGGTTTGGAAGGGGTAGGGTTCAGGGTTTAGGGTTTAGGGTTTGGGGTTTGGGGTTTGGGGTTTAGGGTTTAGGGTTTAGGGTTTAGGGTTTAGGGTTTAGGGTTTAGGGTTTAGGGTTTAGGGTTTAGGGTTTAGGGGTTAGGGTTTAGGGTTTAGGGTTTAGGTTTAAGGGGGGGAAGGGGAAGGTGAAGAAGGAAGCCCAATTCCAAGTCGGTCTTGCAACTGGACCGCCGAGTCACGAACACCACCCCGACCCGTCGATAGCCCAACACATCGGCTCAGGGTTTAGGGCGTGAGGCTCAAGCACCCTAAACCCTAAACCCTCAACCCTCAACCCTCAACCCTAAACTTTTAACCCTAAACCACACCCTAAACCCTAAACCTGAATCCCAAGCCCATCCTCAGACTCAAGCCGCTCACCTTACTAAACCCTAAGCCCTAAGCCCTAAGCCCTAAACCCTAAACCCTAAACCCTCAATACCTAAACCCGAAACACTCTGCACTAGGCCGAGGCCGCGGCATCCCAGGTCGCATGGGCATCCCCATCCCTGGCCTGGGTCTGAGGCTTTCAGGGTTTGGGGTGTGGGGTTTGGGGTTTAGGGTTTCGGGTTTAGGGTTTAGGGTTTGGGGTTTAGGGTTTAGGGTTTGAGGGTTTAGGGTCTGGGGCTTCGGGTTTGGGTTTAGGGGTTAGCATAGGGTTTCAGTCTCATTAGGCTGCAAGCTTCAGTTTCAACCGCTGTGTTTGCCGACCCGAAGCCCTAAACCTAAACCTAAACCCTACAGAACCCTAAACACTACAGAACCCTAAACCCTACAAACCCTAACCCCCCTCAACCCCTAATTAACCCTCAAGCCTACACCTAAACCCTTAACCCTGAACCCTAAACCTTCCCCGAACCAAACATCCTAAACCACAGACCGACAACCCTGATCCGAACCCTGAATCCTAAAACCCTAGGCCTCTGAATCCAAAAAAACCGAGCGTCAAAGGGCCTGTCGGGGCCGAGGGGCATCATGTGCATCGGCAGATGCGACGGAGGCGGAGCGCCAGGCAGGGAATGGCTCTCTTTGCCGCGCCGCTTATCCTTTTCTCGATCCTCTTGGGTCGCTTGAGTTTTGGGGCTTCTTGTTTGTGCAGTACAAGGTTTAGTCCAGGGTCGCCAGGGCGTGGGGCTCAGGACTAGTGAGTTTCGGAATTGGGAAAGCTGAAAATTCACACTTCCGCTTCTCGTTCTAGGGCACACTTGGGTTCAGAGGTTGAAGGTTGCCAGGATGCCTGAACTCACAGCTCAAAAGATCTGAAAACAAGATGTCTCCTTGTCCTTCCGCTTTTTCTCCTTGTCCCTCTCCTTGTCCCTGTCTTTGTCCTTCTCCTTGTCTTTCTCCTTCTGCTCCTGCGCCAGGCACAAGAAGCCACAAGCCTTTTGGCCATGCTCCCCCCTGCGAGGCCTCGAGGAACTGAGGCACCTACCTCTGAAGTTGTAGCAGCCAGCACTTTATGAAAGAACTATGTATCAACCCTGGGTAGGTATCACCAATGCAGCCCTGCACTCATGCCATGGGGGCACCTTCTTCACGGCTTTCCGCTCTTGCGACTTGTCCCTGGCAGCCGTCACAGGTCCAAAAACCGCTTGCAGCTCTCCAAGACACGCTTTCTTGGAAGTCCGTAAGCCCCGGGAGGTAGTGGTCGGGCATGCACTGGACCCTTTAAACCACCTGAATGGATGGGGTGGGGGGGGGGTCAAAGGTCCAATTCAAGGCGTCATGGGTGAGGGCGATGGGTGGCGGGGTTTGGGCATGCACTGAAGCCAAACAATGCAAAAACACTCCAATTCAAGGTGTCATGAGCAGCATGCTGTGAGCGCACTTCTCGGAACCATGTGGGCATTCCCAAAAATAAGAGGGGTTCCCCTTTCTCTACCCCACATAGAAAAGAATCCCTAAAAGGGAACCCCCAAAAGGGGTACCCCTGTTGTCGGAAACCTGCAAAAGACACCAAACGTGCAACTTACGGTGTTTATAGGGCTTCTTGCCAGCGCCTGTGATGACCATGGCCCGCTCTTTTCCGGCCTGAGCCAGGTTTCGGGTATGGAAGATCTCAGAGAAGCACTTTCTGCTAACCCTAAACCCTAAACCCTAAAACCTAAAACCTAAAACCGAGATCCTAGAAAGACTCTAGACCCCAGCTCAGCAGGCAATTGTGTGGCTCAGAGTTTAGGGTTTAGGGCTTGGGGCTTGGGGTTTAGGGTTTAGGGTTTAGGGTTTAGGGTTTAGGGTTCAGGGTTTAGGTTTAGGGTTAAGAGTTTAGGGGCTTTAAACCCCAACACACACAGAGGGAGCTGCCTTTGTGTCTTCCTTCTGGGCGGTCCTGGTCGGGATCTCAAAACTTCAAGCTCCGGCTGTCCACACAAACGGCATCCCAAGATTTACAGTTCTAGGGCTTTCTCTTGGCTTTCTATCGTTGAACTCTCCTAAACAAGGCTAGGGGCTCCTTTTCTTGGAACCCTGGAACGGTTGATGATGTGTGGCTGTAGGATTGTTTAGGGTTTACGGTTTGGGGCTTAGGGTTCTGAAGTCATTTCGGTGCAAAGCCTGAAGGGTTCAGGGTACCCTAAGCCCTAAACCCCTTAGGGTTTCGGGTTTCGGGTTTAGAGTTCGGGGTTTAGGGTTTAGGGTTTAGGGTTTAGGGTTTAGGGTTTAGGGTTTAGGGTTTAGGGTTTAGGGTTTAGGGTTTAGGGCTAGGCGGGGCCATAACAGACCCACGCTTTTTCGGCAGTTTAGCTCTGTTGCCCTCAGAATCCCCTGTAAATACCGATGTTTCCTGGGTTTCGCCCATCACTTCATCCCCGCAATTTTTGTCTAAATTTATCCTGCAACTTTTTTGGCATCCGTAGACTACACTGGTATTTGTGGGTTTTTTTGCACTACTTCGCACTTTCGACGTGTCCTAAACTAAGCCCGGTCTTGCTTGCATCCGCTTCTGCCCAGCCCTGGGTCTAAATAACACGCTTGCTTCACCATAGTTAGAAGAGAGCATCCATGGCCCAACCATGATGACGTCCATAGTCTAATCCATTCTGGGAAGAGAGCATCCATGGCCCAAGCATGATGACGTCCATGGTCTACTCTGTTCTGATGAGAAGAGAGCATCCATGGCCCAAGCATGATGACGTCCATGGTCTACATGTTTTCTGCACTGCCATGGCCCAACCATGATGACGTCCATAGTCTACTCCGTTCTGGGAAGAGAGCATCCAGGGCCCAAGCATGATGACGTCCATGGTCTATTCTGCTCTGATGAGCAGAGAGCATCCATGGCCCAAGCATGATGACGTCCATGGTCTACATCTTCTAATCCGTTCCGAGAAGGTTAAACCTTCTGGGCAGAACTGACTGGAAGTTCTTGCGTTTAGGCGCACTGGGGAGAAGAAAGGCGTCATTTCTCAACACTAAAGGCTGTGACCTAAGTCCTGCATCTCAGGTTTGCTGGTGGGGCCATAGTTTTGCGCGGGTTTGTTGTGGACCCGCCAGGGTTTAGGGCCCTAAACCCCCTTAGGGGTTTAGGGCTTCAGGGTTTAAAGAGCGCCTCCTGGCTCTCAGCCTCGCTGGCGCTTTCCTTCTGCTTCTCCTCGGCCGTTCGCACTTAAGCCGCAAACTCGACCCTCTCAAGCCCAAACGGGGGTTTAGGGTTTAGGGTTTAGGGTTTAGGGTTTAGGGTTTAGGGTTTAGGGTTTAGGGTTTAGGGTTTGTGGTTTCGGGTTTCGGCTTTCGGGTTTCGGGTAAGACTTCAACTGTATACGAACAACCCTCTGAGCCGGACTGCATTCTGGGCTCCATGATTTAAACCCTAAATGGGGGTTTCCCGACAGTCGGGGTGCCTTATTGGGGTCCTTAAGAAAAGGGAGTCCTACTATTTGGGCATCTAAATTGGGGGGGCCCCCATGTTCGTAAACCTCCATTCTTTAAACCCTAAATCCTGGGGCTGAAAGCCTGAAGATTGAACCCTACAGCCTAAATAACCCTCCAAAGGCTCCGTGTCTCGGACTGAGGGGTGTAGGGATTCAGAGCTTAGGTTGTCAAGTTTAGGAAGGAATGGTAGTCAAACCCTAAACCCTAAACCCTAAACCCATTGAGACACGCAGCTGCCGAAATCCCTACGTACTATGACCCGCTAGGTTTAGGTCTGAAGTTTAGGGCTTGGGGGACTTCGGGATGCCCAGCGACTCAGCCCATGGCAAATACCGTCAGTGGCGGCACCTCCTCGTCTTCCAAGTCCTGCAGGGTACCGAAATTTCTGCCCCAAGAGGATTCTGCAGATTCCCTCATGGCTAGCCCCTAGGTTTAGGGTTTAGGGTTTAGGGTTTAGGGTTTAGGGTTTCGGGTTTAGGGTCTAGGGTTTAGGGTTTAGGGTTTAGGGTAGCCTCTATGAACCGCTAGATAGGCTAGATAGGCAGCGGCTTTTGGGGCTTACGGTATAGATTGTCACCTCCTTGGTCTCGCCGTACTTGTTGCAGACGTAGTCATACGCCTCAGGTGCAGCTGCCCCAGTCTAGGCCAGCGATACTTTCAGTACCGGGAGTGTTGTCTCCCAGTCTTGCCCCCTACGATGCGTAGAACCTTGGGATGTTTCCCCCCTTGTACTTACTAACAGTCCTGAATAGGGATTATAACAGGGGGGTATTGTATTCCCTAGTAAGGACTGCTTAATAGTAAGAAAACTTAACAATTATCATGATCATAATCATCATCATCATCATCATCATCATCATAATCATAATCATAATAATCATAATAATAGGAAAATAGGAATAATACAGGCATAAGGGGGAACATCCCAACGTGAACCCACCGAAGACGCCTGCTCCAGCTTGTCGGCGTACTTGGCCAGCAAGTCGTCCAGGTCCACCAGCTTCTCCTGGTTCTTTCTCTCGTAGACACCACCTCGAGGAAACAAACAAAAGTTTAGGGTTTAGGGTTTAGGGCTTAGGGTTTAGGGTATAGGGTTGAGGGGTTAGGGGTTAGGGGTTAGGGTTTAGGACAGGTCTCATGAAAGGAGCATAAATCCCCAAACTGCTCGAAAGCTGCCCTAAGGCCTACCCTCAGTGGCCTGACGACGACTCGAACCCTTGGGCCAACCGCCCTGAAAATCTAAGCTGCCCGGCAAACCTACAGGGCAAGGTTGATCTAGACTCAGACAATGGTGTGGGCTCCTTTTTGGGCGGGTTAGGGTGCAATCCTTCTTGCTTTGGCATGGGTACCACGAAAGGGCCCATCATCTGGACCGACACCCTCCCGATCAATCCTTACGCACCCGAAACCCCAAAACCCTCAAACCCCCAAACCCTAAACCCTCAGACCCCTAAACCCTAAACCCTAGACTCTGAAATGCCTAAAACCTGAAGTTACTCAACCCTAGGTAAACCAAAACCTGCCGGGGGACGGATGAGCTTTCGGAGCCTCTCGTTCCTCGGGGAATCCTGCAAAGCAGATGCAGCAAAGTGCCCCCAAGGCCAAGTCTCGGCCTGGGTGTTTGGCGTTTAGGGATTCAGGGTTTTGTTGGAGTTTAGGGTTTAGGGCTTAAGGTTTAGGAACTTGTTGGTTGAGGAGAAGGATCATTCATGTGCCTATCCGGTGACGGATGCTGTGTCAAGAAGTGGCACTTGAAGCTTAGAGCCGGAGGCTACAAGACAGGGCAGAACAGCCCTCCAACGCCCACCGGGCCTGCTTCTTCTCCTTCATCTCCTTCTCCTCCTGCTCCTCCTGCTCCTCCTGCTCCTCCTCTGTAGCCTCTTTCTTCACCTCCTCTCGCCGGTCCTCCTTCTCTGCCTCCCCCCCAGATGTTGTGGCGTCCTGAAGTGAGGGTTTCCGAAATTAGGGGTACCTGGTCCTTATAATCAGGGAATCCTACCAGTTGGGGTCTATATGGGGGGTCCCTTATTCTCGTAATCACCCAAGTTGCTGGGTCACAAATAAAGATCCTAGCAGATCTTCATACCGCAACCTCACCAACCTCCCGGAATGCACAGTTCAAAATGCACCTCAGCCGATGGCGGAGCTTCGGAAGGCGCTTTTTCGGAAGAGGCCTCAGGGGGATCCATTCTGGGTTGCAGAAAGCAGGCAATATGGGTCTGCAATCATCGTGCTGCAAGAAATGATCAAAGATCCCCCCCCACCCCGCAGAAAGATACTTTCTGCACATACATATATACATGCATACATACCTACATACATACATACATACATACATACATACATACATACATACATAAAGACATACATACATACATGCATGCATACATACATACATACATACGTACGTACGTACATAAATACATATATATATATATATAGAGAGAGAGAGTACGTCGGAATACAGGCCTGTGTTTTTCAGGTCCAAAACACATATTTTTCATGAATTTGCCTTATTTGTGACCATACTTACAATACCTGCATACAGACTATGAGAACCTCCATCCGGATTTAGTTTTAAAAACAAACTTAAAATCCTTTAAATCTTGAAGAAGGGAATCTTCATCCATCTAATTTTCGAAAAACTCTGTAAGTCTTGGAGAAATTTGAATTGTAAAAATCTAAATGGCCCCCCCCCATACCCATTTATGTTTTTTTAAAACCTTTCAAGTCCTTAAAGCAAATGCATTCGGACCCCTTCCCATTTGATTAATTAATGACTTTAAACGTTTTTCAAGGCTGTTAGAAACTTTAAAGCCCTGAAAAAAGTCGGGCCCCTTCCCATCTAGTTTGTCAAAGGTATTCAGATATTGGGGGGACCAGGGGCCCGCCCCAGTTATTCTGTAAGGATTCTCAACATGTTAAGGACCTTTAAAATGTTGAAAATAATGAAAATGGGAAAGGTTTAGAGTTAAAACCTATAAAAGGGCGGGGGGGAGGGGGCTTTTAAGATCCTAAAAAATTGAATTGGGCGCCCCATTTATTTTTTTTTTTGGGGGGGGGGGGGGGGGGGGCTTCTAACATCTCCAAAATTGCAAAATCATTAAATCTTTAAAATCTGTAAAGTTTAATTGGGGCCCCATTTAAACTTTCAAGGTGAGGCCTTTTAAAATCTTTTAAAACTTAAAACCATTAAAATTTTACTGAGGCCCCCCACTTAAAGTTTAAAGGGGGGAGGCCCTTTTACAATCTTAAATCTTTAACGTCTCTAGAATTTAATTGGGGCCCCTAAGTAAACTCTTTTTTTTTGGGGGGGGGGGTTTTGAAATCTTTGAAATTGAACTGGGGGCCCCATTTAAATTCAACGGGGGCGCCCCCTGCTAAACTCTGTAAAACCTTTGAAACCTTTAAGATCTTTAAAGCTTCATTGGGCGGGGACGGGGGCTTTTTTAAATCTTTACAAAACCTTTAAAGTGAATTGGGGGGGGCCCATTTAAACTTCAAGGGCGGGGGGGAGCCCTTTCAAATCTTTAAAACTTAAAACCTGTATAAATCTTAAAATTTCATTGGGGTTCCATTTAAATGTTCAAGGGGAGGCCCCTTTTCACAAATCTTCAAAAAACTTAAAAAAACATACTTGGGGTCACATAAAATTTGAGCGGGGGAGCCCTCTATTAAAATCTGACAAACTTTTAACATCTTTAAAATTTATTTGGTGCACCCCAATTTTCATTTGAAAGGGGGAGGGCCTTCAATTATCTTCAAGAACTTGAAATTTCATACTCTTCAAATTTACATGGGGCTCCAGTAAATATAAAGGGGCAGGCCCCTTTTACAGTCTTTAAATCCTTAATATTTAACCCACCTAAAGCTTCAAGGGGGGAGGCCCCTTAAATCTTCAAACACCTTTAAAATCTTTAAAATCTGATTGGTGGCCCCCATGAATTTTAAAGGGGCAGGCCCCCCCCCCCCTTGGGGGGGGGGGGGGGCCCAAAAAAAAAAAAAAAAAAAAATATATATATATATATATATATCTATATATATATATATATATATTAATATATTTTTTTTTTTTTTTTTTTTTTTGGGCCCCCCCCCCCCCCCCCCCCGCGGATTTTTTTTTTTTTTTTTCTTTTTTCCCCCCCCCCCCCCCCCTCCCCCGGAGAGACCAGGACGAAAGTCCATACTCTGACCGCCACGCAATCTCTGAAACTGAGCATTATTTAAGAATATGCCTACTCATTATATTTGGGTAGTAGATGCATGTGTGTCCAGCTTTGATACGTTGAGTTGTACAATTATAGTTTTAGCTTAAAACACTGACCTACGAAAAACTCGGGCCTGCAGTGCGACGTTTTCTGTATATATATATATATATATGGTCATTTCTCAGAATAGCATTTCTCCAAAATGTGTCGCGGAATCCGTGTAGTTGGGGGGGGGCAGCCTCATGTCCAAGAGGGTTAACTTTTTTTGGTGAAGAAGTTTGGGTTGAGGTTAAAGGGTTGAGGGTTTAAGGTTTAGGGTTTAGGGTTTAGGGTTTAGGGTTTAGGGTTTAGGGTTTAGGGTTTAGGGTTGAAAGCTTGGGATTTGGGGACATCCAACCCCGAGGCCCAAGATTCTGGCGACCGACTGTCTGGAAAACCGAGGTCCGGGCACGTGTTGCTAGCGCCGTACTTGTATAATACATTTATGGGGGGTCTCCGAAATTCGGGGGTACCTTATTGGGGTCCTTGTGATAAGGGAATCCTAGTACTTGGGGGTCTATATTGGGGGTCCCTTGTTCTCGTAAACCCCCATATTACATGCATGCATATATGCATATAAACCCTAAACCCCAAACCCGAAACCCCAAACCCTAAACCCGAAACCCGAAACCCCAAACCCTAAACCCTAAACCCTAAACCCTAAACCCTAAACCCTAAACCCTAAACCCTAAACCCTAAACCCTAAACCCCAAACCTAACCTGGCTACCCCCTTGCTCGAGCTGACGCGCCTTCTTCTCGTCCTCGGACTTGGCCACTTCCGAGGCCTGCGGTCCGCACGCGCGACGTGACCCGCATTACGCGGCTTTCCTAAGCCCTAGAGGGTTTGGGGTTTGGGGTTTAGGGTTTAGGGTTTAGGGTTCAGGGTTCAGCGGTTTAGGGTCTTGGGGTTTTTGAGGGCTTGTACGGCCAATGAAAAGCAAGAGCCGCCGTCTCGGCAAGCTTACGACGACGGTTGCGACTTGAATCATCATGTTCAGAGCTGACACCCCCGTCTTAGGGTCGTTCCGTGGTTCCTGAATATGGACCCTTAATCGGGGCACCCTGCCAAGGGCCTATACTTCAGAACCCTTTGAAGCAGCGAAGGGAGCATATTACGGGACCCATGTAACTTCCCGTAGACCCAAGAAACCCTAAACTTGGGATGTTCCCCCTTAAAAAACAGTCCTTAATAGGGATTCTAATAAGGGGAACTATGGACTGTTAGTAGAAAAAGAAACATCCCAACCCTAAAACCTAGAGGCCCACCCTAAGCCCACCCCAACCCTAAACCCTAAACCCCAAACCCTAAACCCTAAATGGTGCCTTCTCCTCCTTCTGGGTTGCGAGATCAGCCGCAGAGGCACCTGGCACAGTGGGGGCCAGAATCCCTGAACCCTCAACCCTCCAACGCGCAGAAACCCACAGCTAAAACCTCGAAGAAGCCCTAAACCCCAAGCCCTTTGGCAACGATGAGAGTAAAACGCAATACTAAACCCCTAAAGCCCTTGAAGCCCGGAAACCCTAAACCCTAAATCCTAAACCCTAAACCCAAAACCCTAAACCCGAGGCTCTCAATGTCAAGGCACCTTCAGGAGCTCCGCGGAGTCGCGCGGACGCCGCCTCCTGGATCTTGCTCTCGTGAGGCTTTGGGTTTCGGTTTGAAGTTTGGGGGTCTAGGGGTGTGGGGTGTGGGGTTTAGGGTTTAGGGTTTAGGGTTGGGGGCTTAGGGCTTAGGGCTTAGGGCTTAGGGTTTAGGGTTTAGGGTTTAGGGTTTAGGGTTTAGGGTTTAGGGTTGAGGGTTTAGGGTTTAGGGTTTAGGGTTTAGGGTTTAGGGTTTAGGGTTTAGGGTTTAGGCCCTAAACTTTGGGGTTTAGGGTTCGGGGGGTGGGGGGTGGGAGGGAACAGGGGTCTGGGGAAGTTGGGGGTTTATGCATTTGGGGTCCCCTTCGGTGGTGGGCCCCAAGAGAAATTCGGGACCCTTGCAGCTTGAGAGGCCCAATGTTTGGGGGCTTCGGGTCAATCCTAAACCCTAACACCTAAATCCTAAACCCTACATCCTAAACCCGGAACCCTTTTTGGTTTAGTCTTTCGCATAGTGCTTACGTTCTGAGGGTGCCCCCCAACATCCTGATGGTCGCTGTCTTCGGCCGCAGACCTTCGAAAATGACGGTGCGCCAGTGGGGTTTCGAAACATCTGTGGGCTTGAGGTTTAGGTTTTAGGGTTGAGGGCTTAAGGTTGAGGGTTTAGGGAACCATCTGTGCATTGAATACTTGCCCCCAGGAACACCTCCTCCTCCTCATGGAATCGAAGCTCGTGGATCATCGCAGCGAAAGCCCCAGACAACCTCAAACCGACATTCCAACCAACACCAAGCCAAAAACCCCTAAACACCCTCAACCCAAAACCCCCCAAACCCCCTCAACCCCACACCCACCAAACCTCAAGCTCCCCCCAAAAGAAACACCTTTAAGCCTCTGAAAGGATACAGGGCAAGATGCCCAGGCCCGCTTTCGGTCTTCAAGTCATCCGCCGTGCCTTTTGCCTGTCGGGGGTTTAGGGTTTAGAGAATATAGGGTTAGGGTTAGAGTTCGGCTTTGGGGCTTCGGGCTTCGGGCTTCGGGCTTAGGGCTCATGGCTTAGGGCTTAGGGCCTAGGGCGTAGGGCTTAAGGTTTAGGGTCTAGGGCCAGGGTTTACACAAGGGATTAAGGTTCGGGGTTTAGGGTTTAGATGTCGAGGAAAGCTTGCAAGAAGGCTTCGAGGAAAGTTGTGTGGGGTTTCTTTGCTAACCTACAGAGGCTTGCCGGCTTCGGGTCTGGGGGTCTAAGGATTCCCCCTGAACTCACCCCTCGGAAGGATGCCCCCAAGGAGGCTCATTCCGAAGAAGCTTGGAACCTTTGTGCGGCCTCCTCACGCGGCTCATCCAGCGCGCCAAGCATCATGTGCCGGAAGGCCTCAGCGGGCTCAGGGCTCGGGGTTTAGGGTTTAGGGTTTAGGGTTTAGGGTTTAGGGTTTAGGGTTTAGGGTTTAGGGTTTAGGGTTTAGGGTTTAGGGTTTAGGGTTTGGGGTTTGGGGTTTGGGGTTTGGCGTTTCGCGTTTAGGGGTTTAGGGTTTAGGGTCTAGGGTTTGGGGTTTAGGGTTTAGGGTTTCGGGTTTAGGGTTTAGGGTTTAGGGTTGAGGGTCGGGCGGGTGGGGGGTCTGGGGTCACAGTGCGACTCAGGAGGGGGTTGAGAGTTAGGGGCTTAGGGATCGAGCCTTCGAGCTTTGGAGAAGCTTTTAGGGCTTGGGGTTGGGCGCTTGGTTTAGGGTTCTGAGAACCCCAAACCCTCAGACCGAGAAAACCTGAAGCCATGAACCTCCCAAGCCCCAAAACCACAATGAAACCCCAAAACTCTAACCCTCTTCCCCGAAACCCAAACAACCACAATGAAACCTGAAACCCCAAACCCCTCAACCCCTCAACCCCTCAACCCCTCAACCCCTCAACCCCTCAACCCCTCAACCCCTCAACCCCTCAACCCCTCAACCCCTCAAACCCTCAACCCCTCAACCCCTCAACCCCTCAACTCCTCAACCCGTCCACCCCTCAACCCCTCAACCCTAAACCCCAACCCCTCAACCCCAACCTCAACCCACCCCAAACCCTCAAACCTCAACTCAACCTCAACTCAACCTCAACCCCTCAACCCTCTCAACCCCTCAACCCCTCAACCCCGTCAAACACCTCAACCCCTCAACCCCTCAACCCCTCAACCCCTCAACCCTCAACCCCTCAAACCCCTCACCCTCAACAACCCCTCAACCCCTCAACCCCTCAACCCCTCAACCCCTCAAACCCCTCAACCCCTCAACCCCTCAACCCCTCAACCCCTCAACCCCTCAAACCCCTCAACCCCTCAACCCCTCAACCCCTCAACCCCTCACCCCAAACCCATGGGCACCCTGGGGCCGCCGCTGATCTCTTGGGCGCCGCTTTGGGTCGGGGCGCCCCCGCCGCGAGAAGTGCCGCCTGCGGACACGGGTTAGGGTTTGTAGGGTTTAGGGTTTAGGGTTTAGGGTTTCGGGTTTCGGGTTTAGGGTTTAGGGTTAGGGTTTAAGGTTTTAGGGTTTAGGGGTTAGGGGTGAGGGGTTAGGGGCTAGGGGTTAGGG